GGGGCTCCGCGGAGATCCAGCCCGTGGACGGCGACAGGAAGGCGCGGGAGGGTGGGGCGGGAAAGGCGGGCGGGTTTGAGGGCAGCAGATGGCTTCGGCGCCTGAGCCCTAGGGCCCTGCCTCTCCACATGGGGGGCTGGCACCTGGCCGCCATGTACGTGGTTCTGTACAGCGGGGCTTTCATGGGGCTGATGCTGGGCATGGGCTACCGGCTGGAGATCCTCAGGGCGAGCGCGGCCGTGCTGAGAGGGAAGGTGAGGGCGGGGGCGGCACCGGTGGCCACTTGGGTGGCTTTGTCGATTCGTGCAAGGTGGTCTCATGTGCAGCTCTTGTGAGACTCCTTGAGCTGATTCACAAACTGACAATGCCCCGCACGTCGCGCACGGTGGTGCACAACGCGGAGAACGCTGAATTGCCGCACTTTGCAGAAAAGTACTGCAAAATAATAAACCCTTCCGCATAGTAACGTAACGCTTGGTCATTTTTTGCGGAGAAAGTAATACAAATAGTAACGCAAATCTTGGCCTTTCTGAGCGGAGCAACGTAAAAAAATAGAAATAACGCTGTGAAAAACAAAATGCGGAGCAAAAAGCATAACGGTGAAATGTTCCGGTGCGGAAGGGTTTAATATTTGTTTTAGTAACACACAGTGACAACCTGCGTTTGTGTGTTGTCCGTCTGCCGTGGCTTCCAGGTCGACGTCGTCGCCGTCCTGTCGATTTTCCTGATGGCCATGGGCCTGGTGACGCTCTTCGCGTTCCCCGCCCACCTGCTGATGTACCTGGACGCCAGGCGGTCCGCCAGGCACCGAGAGACCCTCGAGTCTGGCGGCTCCAGGGCGCCCGCGGCGCCCAGGCTGTCGCCCGCCTCCGTGCGGTGGATCTCTGAGAACTGGCGGGCCGGCCGCCCGGTCATCGGGGATGTGCTGGATGGCGTCATGAGGGAGCTGACGCCCGGCAACACTGCCGCGGTGTTCACTGGAGGTGGGGCCCGCCGCCATGGGATAAACAACTTTCATAACGAGTGGTACAAGCAAGTACTGTAGACGAATGAGTCTTATCAATTTTACTGCGAAACAGCACTGGGAGGAGATTGCAGTCCATATGCGATGCGTCGACGCGAAGCGTTACGCCTTCTGAGGGGCGAGAGAGCGCTGCTTGTGCTCCCCTTGTGCGCGCTGGCGGAGTTCTGCGTTCGCGCCAGATGTGATGTTGCCGGCGTGGCTGGCTATGCACTGACGGCGGGTCGGATGCCAGCGAGGTCACTGCAAACGTGGATGCTGCAGGCTGGGCGCTGCACGCTCTGTGGTGCTGCCGTGCGCACGAAAAGACAGCTCGCCGGCGTGTCGCACGTTGTTCATCGCAGCATGGCTTATTTTAAGCGTTTGTGATCGGTGTCCCAGCGGAAACCTTCCGTGAAAAGGACGCGGTGTGTTCGCCTAGGTCCCCAAGCGATGATAACGGCCGTGAAGCTGGCGTGCGCGAAGCGCAACCCCCTGTTCCGTCTGCAGCAGCCTCTGAAGGTCGAGGTAGAGGCGTTCGAGCTCTGAGCCGGCGCTGGACTTCGAACATCGCTGACTGCAAGAGAGAACAGCTACAAGACCCCAACGATGTGTCGGCAGGCGTGAGCCGCAAGGCTAGCCGTTGATAGCCGTAGGAAGCGGGATTCGCCATTCATTTCGTCTGGCTGCAGGTTTGTCGAGGAATAGGGTATAAATCAATCAGCAGTCTGACAGCTGTACACGATGTTTGTACTCTGCTGGAGCTGGCGCTCCGTGCACAGATTGAGAATAACCGAACAAGCAAAGGTATTGAACATTTGTATTTTGTTGAGATCCACCTGTACTCATGCTATACCTGCTGAGAAGCCACTGACCAAAGAGATGGTCCACGACTTGAGTCGTTTGAGTGGGCTGTGCCAGTTGCTGCCGGAATGCAGCTCATCAGCTGATCGATGGCACACAGCTTGCAAGTGCTCAAGTGGCCAATCAATCGGACCCATTGGATCCGACTCTCTTCTCTGAGGTGCAGATAACTGAAGCACAAATTTGACTCCAAGAAGAAACCAGAAACAACGTTTCTACACGCGACAATACATTTCAAAACCACTGTGCGTCCAAGCTCTTCTGTGCAATGACAGTGAGAAGCAGCGCATTCCCAGGATTGGCGACTTGGTCAGAAACTAGACGACTTCTGAATCCTATCTGCCATCGTCCACAATGCGCCCATAACAATCTACACCCATAAGTGTCCATGAAATCAGCATATATCCGAAATAGGTCCAAAAGAACTCCAGTGGAGCAGTAAGCCTATGGCACACCAACGCTCACACGCGACGCCAAACGTGGAAACGAAAGAGCATCACAGCACAAGGGCCTGCGAGGCGATGAACAAGAAGAAAATGGCCCCGGCCCCAAAAGGAATAGAGAAAAGGAAAGAAACGAAAACTGCCGGCTGGTCTGGTAGATTAACAATCCACTCTCTGAAGCTCCTCATTTTCTGGTCTTCAACCTGAGGGCATGCAGCAAGGGCATCGTCCAATGATTTTTCTGCAACAGCATCGCTGCCTGCACACTTGACGACATCTTAGCTTGCAAACAATGGCTCATTTCACATGCCTTGTTTAATGTTTGACTTGTTCACTTGCTGAAAACCATGTATCACTATGATGATAATGCAAATCGTTAACCACAAGCATGCTGATCGCCACACCAAACGGCACTTATGACATCCTTGAAACAAGCTGATGACGCCCAGATCCCAGTCAGCATTCAACACCATCGTCCAAGTTGCCAACAAGCACATCTACAATTCTCCACTCAACCACACAAGAGGGATTTGACACATCAACAAAGGTTGAATCAACAGTGTGAACGTTGTTCTTCTGTCAACAGACTTACCGATTGTAATGCTGCCAGAACATCCCCCTTGTCAGAGCACTTTCCCATGCCCTGTCCTTGATACCAGACGAATTCTGTGGCATGTACAGAACTGCAGAAAAAAGAACACATCATTGTGCTGCACATCGAATCATGAATAAAATGAACAAACAAGCATTCTTCACTGGTTGGTACGCTACATTGATCGATGCCATGACATCACGTCGATGCATCCATGTAAGGAAGAAAGAAAGAAAGAAACAAGCATTCGTCTCCTGCAACAGGTGTGGATGTGATCAGCCTCCAGTACTGTCTTCAGTGTCCGAGGGCAGAGAATTTTCACTTCCCAAGCAGATCCCAACGACGAAGTTTTGTCAGCCATCAGCCAATCTTTACCCAAATCCCCCTACTTATGGCAACACACTGGTTGGTACCCGACATTTTGCTGCTAGATGGGCGCCTGCCACTTCATTTTTTTCTGCAAGGGGCTTCACTCCTTTGCCGCTGCACCCGACAGGCGCTAACAAACGCATATATTGGTTCAACGATCGCCTCTATGGATTCCTGGCAGTGGCAAAGACGAAAGGTGGACCCATGCAGTTCCAATTGACAGCAGTGCAACCCTACAGCGCGTCAGCGTGGAAATGTACTTCGACACACTGCACTTCCCCCTGCTCGCAGCACCCCTTCTGTCAGTGCGCAGCACGACTCGGTGCCAAAGGGCACGATCGTGTTCAGGCCAACAACGGCCACATCCCCTGCTGCATCTACGCAACAAACTATGCAAATGAAATCCGCAATGATAGCTGCCCGAAAACCGAGGCCACTTCGAGCACACGAACATTCGTCCACCACTTCCTAACGCCCACCGCGGCCCAGCTGTTGAGTCAGCAATGGCTACCAAGGCGGCAACGATAGCGTGGTTTCTTCATCATCCACCAATACAAAATCTTCCGTTAACTCTTGTCATCAACATGTAATTCCTGCTTACTTCTCACGCACATGTTTGGGAGAAAACTTGCGGTTCCTTGCAATCGTCAACCACGCCGATACGGCCATGAGTGTGGTGCGTACCCTTTTTTTTTAATTCCAATGTAGCAACGGACCGAGACCCTCGCACAACGCCACAAGCACAACGCGATGGCCCCTGGTCGTGCCCCAGGATAGTGTGATTCACCACAGAGCGCGTCTGCGCAGCTGTGACCGCCCGAGGAAAGGGTGCCAACGGCGAGGGCGCGGGGAAGAAACGCACCGCCAAAACCAGAGGGGCGGCGTCCGCTGAAAAGGGCGCTTCCCGTGCGCTGGACGGACGCAGCGTCCGCCCCCATCGGTGACGCGGCTGCAATACTCACCGCGCATAAATCAATCCCAGAGTCACGCCAAGAACAAACACCAGTGTTCGCCACGCGCACCACAAAAGTTTTCAGGTTGAGACTCACTTGCAGGCCTCCAGAATCTCCTCGAGATGGATTCCCTCCTGCTTGGCCACCCACACGGCCTCCGTCCATGCGTGCCCCATGCATGCGCACCCCGCCGTGGAGGGGTTGCCCCCGGGCCCCAGGACCCCCTCCAGCGCCGCGCAGCACGGCCGCGTCGGCGTGGCCGGATCGTCCAGCGCCGACCAGCATTCCGCCGTCCGCAGGGGCGCGGAGATCGCGTCGTATCTACATGCGCTCATTGGTGACCTGGATGCCAAACCGGGAGGCGCTGGCGATGGGCTGGCGGCATGAACACATCGGTGGGTGGCGATCGCCACGAGGAAGACCACCAAACAGGCTGCCACGCGCCGTTCGTGCGCCATGGCTGTGGCCGCGAGGTGGCCACCGCACCGCACAACGCGGACAGGGCACTGGGGTTTGTTGGGTGTGTGCCAGCCATGGTTGTGGGAGGGGCAAGTGTCTGTCATAATGTGTGGATGTTATCGATCAGTCATGTTCCGCAGGTACCCCTGTGCGCCCACAGCCGCACATGGCGGTGGACGTCGGGATCGGTGGGGCCGTGTGGGCCCCGCACACCAACGGGATTTGCTCCTTTAATGTCCCGCCCAACCCTGCTGCGCGGCCGTCTAGTGCGTTGTGCTCCGGTCTGCCAACGGTGGGCGCGCCCAGTGGGCCCCGCCAGGATGCCTCTGGCGCGAGGCAGCCGCGAGCTGCCCTCGGTACGCGAGGTGGCCTCGTTCCGGCGCAGCTCGGAGCTGCCCCGCGGCGTGGTGCCCACCAAGCAGGAGAGCGCGGCGCTGCTGGACGATGAGGAGGCGCCCCTCCCCCAGAGCGATGCCCCGGAAACGCCCCCCGCTGGGTCGACGCCGAAATCGGCGGCGACTCACGTCAACCGGGCGGCCTTCGTGGCGGCGGCATTCGCCCTGTACGCCGCCATGGCGATCGCCGGCATTGCCCTGGCTTTCGTGGCGGTCACGTCGGGCACGGAGTGGGGCAACAAGGAGATCTGGACGCGATACGATCACGAGCTGCAGCTGGACGCCCAGGGAGGCATTCATGATCCCGAGGGGGAGCCCGCCCTCTTGCCGGGACATGTCGTGAACGAGCTGGCGCTGTACTGGGGCCTGCCGCTGATCCTGATTCTCTGCGCCCTGGTGGTTTATCACATTCCGGAGAGGCACGTGGCGCTGGAGTGGATGAGCCCCGCGTCCGCGGCTCTGGGGAAGGAGCTGCCTGTGGCGTGGGCGAGGAGTCTGTGCGGCGGGGTCAGCGTGGGCGAGGCCCTCTTCCTGGCACTGTTCACCGCGCGCAACGCGCTCATGATCGCGTGGACGCTGCAGGAGGTGGACCACAGGGTCAGCCTGCGTAAGTGCGGGGGAGAATTACGTGATCAATGGGTGGGGTTTGGGGGATGGGAGGCCGATTTGGCGAATCTGGGCAGTACGGCAGTACGAGCGCTGTACAGCGTTTTCCTTCTCGTGTAGCGACACGGAATTCGGTTGATTGCTTTCCTCCGTCAGATTTGAGGAGGTGCTGGAGCGGTGTGCTGCAGCAGTGGAGACGCAGGGCAGGTCAACACATTTTCCACTGGCACAGCTGTTCGCCTTCCCCTTTATCCATTTCAGGTGTTGCGCTTTTTAACGGGATGTGGTACTTTGAAATAAAAAAACTGGGGCGGTGACTATGGTGAGGTTTCACAGCTGGTGTGAGCGTTTGTAACACAGCTACAGCGGGCTGCCACAACACTGCAGTACTGCGTCGGTGGTGATTCGAATGCATTAGTAGCCTAAATGCCATGTGCACTTCACTTGGAACACAAAGTGTTGGCGGCTATAATTTTTCTGTTCTCTTGCAGGCAATACTGGCCATGTAATTCGCTTGCTTGTCTGGAGGCCAGCATACGTCCTTGCAGAGTATGGTTGTGAGATTTCATGCAGGTTGTTCAAACAGAGCTTTGAGCATTTGTTGCGTTCTATGTGTAGGGAGGGCGGAGGCCGTGGTCACAGGAATTCCTCTGCGGCACCCGAATTGGTACTATGACCTGGACGGGTGAGTGGAGGAGTGCAGAGCGGCCATCCACAGCAAACGATGTAGGACATTGTGCAAGGCAGCCAATTCCTTGGATGTCCATTTCAGGAGAAGTTATGGCAAGCAAAGCCGTCGCTTGTACATTGGAGGGGGTAACAAGGACGCAAATGTCGAGGCAGCCTTTGCTTGAAAGCCCTATGTCCTCATCACGTCCAATGCTCAAGTGTTCCTCATGATGTGGCGAACGTTGTTGCAGAGCAACGATCCAGAAATATGGGAATGAATCTGTGAGCATAATCTGACAAGCTCCATGCTTCCATTTACTGCTACATCTTCAATTGTTGAAACCAACAAAACTCCTGAATCCACATTTGTCTCCACTATGCAAGGCAGTGGCCGGCTGCCTCGAGCACGTGTGCGGGACAGAATTGTCTTTATCATGCGAATTGGTAAGCACTGAGTGAGTGAACAAGAACATCCATTTGTACATTCCGACCTGTTTTGCGTGCACACTGCACCTGCGAAACTACGAGATGGGAATGACAGCCTTGTTCACGATAGATTGTGTCAGTTCCAACCCTGCCAGTAAGTGGTTCCGTGAATGCCTTTGTCAATCTTCACTTGCAGGGTGGCGCTCTCCCTTGGAGTCACCTCCTTCCAGAACCTCATGTGGCTCTTCTTCCCCATCGTGCGCGTCTCACCTCTGTTTGATGCTCTTGGACTGCCTTTTGAGAAGCGCATCAGGTACCACCGCTGGCTGGGGCACTTCACCATGGTCATATTGGCGACCCATGGCCTCGCCTATTGGACCCTTCGGTTCTGCGTGAGTGGGCAGGAGTGGGTGGACGAGGCTCTCAACTGGACAGACCACCGGAGGGTGAATAATTTGGCAGGGGGGATCTCCCTGGGGTTTGGAGTCGCGCTGTGGGTGACGGCCCTGGAATGGACCAGGCGAAGGTACTTTGAGGTGAGATAGCTGTTCGACAAGCAGGTGTAAAAGAGGATGTTGAGCTGTGTGGTTCTGTGTGGTTCTTGCTCATGCTGAACAAAAAATGCTGCTGGACGTAGGGCATTTCTTTCCTTGCAGAGTTTTGGAGCCTCTTCTCCTCAGGAGGAAAGCAGGCCGCACTGTGAGATGGTGATGCTCATTGTCCAGTGGTAAACGACATGTCACTGGCAGTGATGTGTCCAAAGCAAACCTTACAGTGCCTGATTGCAGGCTGGACATGTGGCGAGGGCTACTGCAAGGGACATGAAAACTGGCAGTAGATTTTCACTTCCCAATTGTAGGACTAGAGAAGTTTCTTCATGGTTGCCACCCTCTAATAAGGCCACCCTGTTGTTCTGCTGTGTAATACGGATGGAGACTGAGCTTGCTTCTGTTCTTCCCCAGGTGTTCTACAGGACCCACGTTGTTGGGTTTGTGGGATTCTTGATATTTGGCATTCTTCATGCCCCCGGGATGCATGTGTACCTTGGAGCTGGGCTGCTTCTATACTGCCTGGACCTCGTCCTGCGGCTTACTCAGCTCAGCACTCGTGTAAAGGTCAAGTGGTCAGGATCAACGTCAGACAAGTCCATTGCAGTCCTCGGTTTCGACACAGCAAAGCCACTGTGCCCCTTCTCCACCTTCTTTGTGAACATTGAGAGCATCTCCAAGGTGCAGTGGCACCCTGTCACACCGGTTATGATGGGAGGGGGAACAGCAATGAAGGTATGAGCTCTATGCCTTGCGTTTATCCCAGTTGCACCTAGAATGTTACACTGGGTAGTTGCTTTTTGAATTTGGGTGGTCACCACCATATGCTTTGTTTCAGTTGTGTTGCATTCCTCATCGCGGAAGCCAATAATCGCCAAAAGTCGATCATGTACCAGACTGGACGTCTTGACCAGTACTGTTTTCCCCTCCTTTTCCTTGCTGTTACATACGATGGGGAATTGTCCCACAGTGATGATTGTGTTGATTTGCAATCTTCATGGGTTCAACCACAGTTGACACTTGCTCTGATGCACCCTGTGTGTGCATGTCGTATTTGATCAGTGTATTGTCAAAAGGATACTGAGTTTGAGGTGTGGTATGTCTTGAATGGATAATAGAAGCTGTGGGGTGCCCTGTGTAAGAACACGCAGAATGGCCGCAGCAAAACTCCAAAATTTGGTTACCACACAAGTAGAGTGGCAGAAAATGTTGTGAATGGTCTGACTACCCAATGCGGTGCTCTTTTTATTTGCCGATGTGTACATTCCAACAATGGATATCAGGCTTGGTCGTTGGAGCACAGTGATTCAGGTGCTTACTGCAGTGCTGGCTGGGAAGTGGCCCAAAAGGATTGTGAGCTCATTTTGAAAGGGAATGGAAGTTTTGCTGGGGACGACCCACCGGATTGGAATTGCATGCACATAGGTCAGTAGTTTGCAGTGCCAGCTGCTGCAGCACATGAGCAAGACTCTGTCTCAAATGGAAAGTCGAGCATTAAGGCTGTGGTTTATTGAAAGCAATAGTCCATGCGGCGACATTTTTGAGCCTGGCTGTTGGATCTCACACTGAAATAGTTAATGCCTTGAATGCCCTGTGCAGGTGTGCTTCAAGAAATTTGGCAAGTGGACGAGCAGGCTCGTTGAGGAAGCAGCAGCAGGGACGCTGACAACCGCAAGGCTAGAGGGTCCGTACAGTGCAACACCAGACATACGCTGCTTTCAGGAGCATGAATACCTGGTCATGGTGGCCGGTGGAATCGCCATCACCCCCCTGTTGACCATCCTCAAGAAGCTTGTGATCTCGAATGCAACTGAGCCCTCTGGCAGGCCCAGTCGCTGCTTGAGGCTGGGCTACCCTCCTCCTAGCGATGATGATCCTGTCTTTCGGCGCAAGGTCGTGGTGCTGTGGACGATGCGCAACATATCTGAGGCAGAACTGATGGATGAAGAGCTGTTCAGTTATTCCAGGGCCCGGCCTGATCTGTTGGACATTCGCATCCATTACACGGGCAGGTCTGAGCTCGGTGGCTGGACAGGCACGATGATCCGGGATGAGAGAAGACGTGGAAAGACCGCTCAGCAACCTGATGCTGACAGGATTGAGGAGAGCAGGGAGTTTGAGCCCAGGACAGAGTTTTGGGGGGCCTTTCAACAACGTATTCAGCGCATCAGCCCCACGGCACTCTTGCAGCACAGGGGCCCTCTCCATTTGGCTGTGCTGCATATTGTCGTGTATGCTGCGGCGTTCATGGGGTTGATCTTGGGGATGAGCTATCGCCTGGAGGCCTTGAGGGCGGGAGAGGAGGTGTCCAGGGGAAAGGTGTGCACACATTCTTCAGAAGCTCTTTTGACACTTTATCTCTGTACCCTGATCCCACATTTTGCTCTGCATGTGAGTGTTTAGAGCCCAACCCCAGAAAAAGGAAAGGAAACAAAGAAACTGTATCCCATCTTGGAAGATGCTGGCAATGATGTGGTTGATAATCCACAAGATACGCTGTGCTGGAAGTTGGTACATAGATGTGTGCATGTGCTTGGTCCTTCCTAAAGCGAGTTACTATTCGCTGGAACCAGTACTAAGGAGTGGATGCAGGAAAGGGTCCGAACTTTCCACTGCATTTCTTTTTGCTGGTCCTGGTGTTCCTGTGTGAAAACAGGTATCTACAGCAACATTATCACCATGGTGAATCAACATTTTACTGCTATCGATCATCTTATTTTCAATGTGAGCTGTTTAGTCAGTCATGTGTATCAACAAATTGGATCAAGGCAGCCACACAGGATGCGATGGTTGTCTTCTACTGCACTGGATGCCATGGACTTGAATGGCATGGCATGAACGACTATCCACGCTGATGTTGCATCCCTTGGAAAGCTGAAACATAGCATACCCTGCCCATTGTGGCGAGTGTAGTTGTTGAAGGGTCTGAATCAACTTTCCTGTGTATCCTCATAATGCAATGGTGCTTTCTACTGGTGCTGCCAATCCATTGTGTTGAGTGTGAAACGTTGCCACCCTGCAGTATTGTGAAGGAAACAGGATTGCTGACATAAGTAGTTCAATAGACAAAAATGCAGTATCAACCAACAATGGATCATTATTGGGCTGCCGAATATACAGCGCGATTCTGGGCTTGATGCCAGAGAACCATAGGTTGCCATTTGGCCCAAAGCATCGCATCTTGCAATGTGCATCTCTTAATGCCAGGTTGTTAAAAAGCTCTTCCCACAAAGGGAAACAACTGGAAACCCTATGGCACTGAATTTCCTACTGTATATACCAGTAGCATTTGATGTTGTATTTTCTGATCCCTCCCTTCGCTTTTGGCAGGTCGATGTCGTAGCCATGTTCTCCATGTCGATGATGGCCATCGGTGCAGCAACTCTCCTTGTCTTCCCTGGCCACCTGCTCATGTACCGCAAGGCCAAACGCATACGGGCACATGAGGAGCTTCTCGAGACTGGCATGGTCAAGGTGCCCCCTGCGAAGCACCAACTGTCACCGATGACCATGATGTGGATCCAGGGCACCCACGACGTAACGCTGGCTGGCCTCGACCTTGTGTCTGGGCCTCGCAAAGTACTGGACACCCCCATACTGTCAGACACAACGGTTCGGTGGATCCAGCGCAACAAGAAAATGGGGCGACCGGATGTGGATGAGTTGCTTGATGATGTCAGCGGGAAGCTGTCTCCAGGCCACACGGCAGCTGTGATCACAGCAGGTGTGAGATTGTCTTTGCGAAGTGGTGGTATGTTCATTGTCAAGATCAGATTAGATGCGAGCGTTTGAAGCAAATCTCACAAGATTATGATGTCTGTGTTAAGGGTCTTTGCCAGCCCTTGTTGTCCAAATAGTGCCTTAATGAATATAAAGATCGACCCAATGTCTTCCATCACCCCTGCAGCGAACGCATCTCCGGCGATGCCATGTGCGGTGCCACGCAAGCACCTGGTGATCCATCACTGTCCACCAGCTGTTTTGGTCCCACACTTGCAGTGGACACTGCGATGCCACTGTGATGTTGGCACAATTCTTCTTGTGCACATTTCGTGTGTGGGCTGAAGCTGTCCATCATCCAAGCACAGATCCCGCCTCTGTGTGGCATGAGGGGCATCACTATATGTTACAGCGTATTTGGCATCGCCGCAGTTTCTTTTATACCGGCAATGGTCACTGCCAGTGGCTCCTGCGTTGTGGAATAGGCACAGTGCGTGGTGCTGCGGTATGCATTCAGCTTGTGATACAGCACTCCACTCAGGGGCATATACCTGGTTTTGACGCGGATCAATGTGTCCAGGCCCCAAGCCGATGATCGACAGCGTGAAGTTGGCCGTCGCGAGGCGCAACCCACGATTTCATCTGAAGAATCCGTTGAAGTTCGAGATGGAGACATTCTCACTTTGAATGGGCTGCACGGAGTGAATCCGAGCGCCCGACTCGCAATTTTTTGTCCTTGTTTTGCCCTAAAGTCATTTGGTGACAGCGGAGCATCGTCCGAATTTGTACATGGACGCATGTTCGCTTGAGGCTGCATGGAATGACCGTTCGCACTGGTTCAAATTTTGCGTCTTGAAACGATATGTGTTGTGCAGAGACATTTTCCTATTGTACAGGGTACATGTCAGCGCATGCCAAAATGGTACAGGATTACTACGCTCCACGCGTTGGATGTCTGGTCGCTTGTTGATTGAAGTCATGTCGAAAGTGCTTCAGCCGCCTTGACCGCGTCAGAGATGTGGCCGGTGCTCCGTGGTGGCATCAACTGATTTGTTTCGGGTTTCGACGCCTTGTTCATCATTCTATGGCGTTCACATGGCAAACAATGTTGGCAGAGGTTTGGGACGTTGGCTTCATTCCGGCAGTATAGGTCGATGATGTCGCGTTAAAGTGTAAAGCGCTTGATGTACATCTGCGGACTGATCGTGACGTATTCACCACAATCAAGCCTTTGTCCTTTTGTAAAAGCAGCCCAGTTGCATGACATGCGATGCGGCATGAGAGCGTGGCAAAAATTACAGTGATGCGGACAAATTTTGGCTTTTGATAAAGATACGGAACGATTGACAAAGCTCACAAGAACGGTGCATTGCCCAAGGTGAGAAATTCCCGCTCCGTAAACGCTCAACACTCGCCAATGCAACAGCTGCACAACAGGTGGAAACGTTTCTACTCTCAGAGGGACACGCTGCCACCCTCACTTGCATGACCATCACCACAGCCACTTGCAGCACGGCGCATGTGGGCCACACCGTTTTCTTCCCGCTGGTTGTAGTGCGTCTCACATACCTGTCAATGGCGGGCTGGATTTCCGCAACCGATTTGCAGCCAACGAAGCAGGACAGTAGCAACACAGGTCCAATTGCGTGCGCCACAACTTGCTCTGACATTGCCTGGCTGCATTTCTCCACCGTCAGGTTTGCCACCTCTGGAAAGCCACGATTGTAATCTCCACAAAGTCTGGAGACATCTTTCTTGACAACAAGTCCCAGACATGCTCCATTCCTACAAGGCACTTTCCCCATCGACATCGGCAGTTGGCTACAGAGCTATGGCCCCGTCTTCTTTGGATAGAGCCTTGCCCGCGGCGATCACAGGTTCAATTTCACCCTGCCCATCACCCGCACCAATCACAGGGCAACTTCTTATGCGATCTGCAGTGACTTGTGACCACACGTCCCTCGTGGTTGTAGACACACGGGGACTACCAACGCACAGTCGGCAGCGATGTCCCCCCTTGGCGCGTACGTTCAAGGGCGGCTCTGGCCGCAGCTGCAAGCGCTCAATTCCAATTCAAAATCTGCAGTCTGCGCCAGAGTCGTTGCCCAAGGGCCAGTTTGTAAACTGGTAATTACAGTAATTACTGGCGGCGGACACCAGTCACGCGAAGTAGTTAACGAGCCAGCGCATTCTTGGGCGAACCAGTAACGTGCTTCAATGCCTCCTCTTGTTGCTGCCCATTCTAAAAACTGCGTATCACTAGGAAAAAAGGGACAAATAACACGTGTTCAAACGTGTACAAAGTTTACAGGTTTGTGTTAATTTTTTGTTCTTAGCGCGCAGAACTTTGATGAAAGGTGTTTTATGTGTGTTCACAGAAGTGTTATTTGGCCCTTTTCCTAGTGTATGTCACACTCCAGTGCAATATTTCCGCGCGCTTTGATCGTTGGAGCATCTTTTGGAGGCAGCATCCCAAAAGAAGGAAATATTTTGAGCCGGGGACGAATCTGCCCAATCCTGAGAGCGCCAGTTCGTTCCAAGTGGAAGAAAACATTGACACACATAAATGCCCCACCACACATTGCCTGATGTGCGCCAACGAGTGTTTTAATTCCCTTACTCCCCAAAAGACAAATCCCCAAGCAAGGTGCAGGCAGCATATGTGTGATGCTGTCGAATGCAATCCGCCGGGAAAACAGTCAATTTATGCTGTCAGTATACCAACCATTTTGAAATAAGAATTCGTGTTTCACAAACTCACACTTCGATAAGTGAGCAATTGCCTGGGAGCGTTTGACTCAACTCCTCAACTGAGACAAGGCAGAAATCCAAGGGGATCGATTCCACAAAAGATCTGAATAAGAAACTGCTAGCACCGTCAACGCGATTGGCTATGCTTGCATGGAATACCCCAAGCGACTAGTTTCTTATGGCTCTAAGATCCAAGGAGACTGCTTTAATGAGCAGGAAGACACCATTCCATCACCACCACGCTCGCCAGCCCAGTAAGCGTAGCACAGCCGCAACACACCATCTTGAGTAAATTTTCAGAGAGCTTAAGCATTGGCCCAAACCTACACATCTACCCAAAAGAAAACTCTCTTGTAGGTTCAGTGGCAGTGGGTGGCATAGATTTGCATGCAAATCTCATGGGAACGATGAATGGCAATGAATGGCAAGGACGCTGATGACATGACGCTAATTTTGTTCTGAAGCGTGCTGCCATAACAATAATGACACAGAAAATTGCCCAGACAAATTTTCCAGGAACCGATGGCAGCCTCTCGCGGACTATTGGTGCACTGTTCACTTCCGGAAAGGAGAGACGCCGTGCCTATTCCCGGCTAGCTATAACTGCAGAATGTTTGCGTCGATGCACCGATGCAGCTACCTGCACAGCTCGAAGATTTCTTGGAATTGCGTTTCATTATATTATTATGAAGCGGTATCCAATTGTACTTCAGTTTGCAGAAGTAAATTCTGAGGTGAAGTTCATCCGCATTTTGGACCATTTCGATGCACATCAATGTGCGGTAGACCCGCCGCGGATGCTATAGTCAAGGGACATGTGCCAACCTGAGCACACGATCTCCGTCGACATGTTTTTAGGATAGGTTTCGTTCTCATCAACGAGGTCCAGGACCGGAGGGTAACAGTGCCAACGCAGCCTTAACGTTAGGCAAAAAAAGGGCCAAATGACATGTGTTCAAATGTGTACAAAGTTTACGGGTTTGGGTTATTTCCGTGTTTTCAGCGTGCAAAACACTGAGGAAACCATATATGTGGTCGCAAAAAGTGTTATTTGGTCCTTTTCTTGCTAGTGTGGCGTTTGTCGACTGGCGCGTTCACGGCTTCGCTGCATAGACACTGAGGCGGTTTCTGAAACCAACTCGTAACGAGGCCAAGAGAAGCTTCGAGTATAATGGGACATTCCCTGAGTGAACACTGGTAACAATGGCAATTCACCCAAAACGTGATGATATCCACCAAGGAGAATGATGAGAGTTGGATTGCCCCATCGCACGGTATTATTACCAGTGGTATCAGTACTGGTCAGCGTGCGCAATTTGTGAGATTCGAGTATCACACCGGACATCCCAAGAGAAGATTCCAAGGTTCGACGCCATTCCCGCTCGACAGACAGGCTTGTTATTTACGCAGTAGAAACTGATCGCATTTGCGCTTTCACACGTAAAAAAAACCTAAAAAATACGTCACTACAACGAAAATACAGCCTCGTGTACATAAGGACAGCACATACAGACTTAGGGAGTCCGGGAAGTGGCAGCCAGACGCCCTGGAATGGGCAGAAAACGAACTTTGTTCCGCGCCGTCGCTGCTCTTGCTGATGGCGAGGTGGAAGCTGTGCTGGAGGGGCTCCAAGGCGGCTGACCCGATGGATGGCCCGCGTCTGGTGGGCTGAGCGCGAGAATTTTCGTCGTGTTCGGGAGGCGACGGGCAACGACGTCGTTGCCAGGGCATCCCGTGGCGCATCCAGCGCAGCAGGGCGCCAGGAACGCTTGGAGCCGGTGGTGAAAGGGGACAAGGGGCACCCACGGTTGAAATGGACACATCGCCGGCTTCAGACACCCCCAGCCCGCGGCTCGACAATCTGCACGTGGGCATCGGTACTGCGACCGGGCGCAATCGATTGGCTCGCCGAAATGACGCAGCTGCCGACATCCGCGCGCGCTTGCGCACGTGTGACATTCAGCGAACGTGATGGGCCCACTTTGACGTCAGGCGCCTTGGAGGCCAGTCAGCCCCCCGCGCTCGCGGACCCCTTGGCGTCGAAAGCGCCACTGCCGAGTATCCGCGGCCTCCTTGAGCGACGTATTTAAGTCGACTCCGACTGTTGGTAGCTCGCCCGCCGCGCCGCGCAGGCCGCCCCGCTCGTCCGCCGCCATGGGGGGCAGGCAGCGCCCGGCTCCCGGCGTCCCCGTGGACGAGGCCGGCCTGTCCGCCAGGGGGCCTGGGAAGGATCAGCGATCCAAAAGCAGTAGCTGCGGATCGAAGCGGGGCGAGCGCGTGGCGGGCACGGGCCCACGCAGGCGGTTCGTCTTCCTGGCCTCTTGCCTGTACGCGGCGATGACGGCCCTGGGCCTGTGCCTGGTTTTCGCCACTGTGGCCGGAACGTGGGCATGGGGTGGCAGGGCGGTCCGCGGCGACTACGCCGGCCACCTGCAAATGTCAACCCTGTCAGCGCTCCGCTCAGGATCTGGCCTGCGCCCTTCTGGGGTCTGGCGCAGGGACGCCACGAGCCCTCTGTCTGGTCACGTAGTGAACGAGCTGCTGCTGTACTGGGGCCTGCCGCTGGCACTGATTCTCTCCGCGCTGGCGGTTTCGACCATCCCGGAGCGGTGGCTGGTGCTGGAGTGGCTGCGCCCTGCCCGCGCCGTTCTGGGGAGGGAGGTGCCGGCGGCGTGGGCCGGGAGGCTCTGCGGCGGGGTCAGCGTGGCCGAGGCCCTCTTCTTGGCGCTGCTCGCCCTGCGCAACGTCCTCATCGGCCTGCAGACGGTGAAAGAGGCCCGGGACGGCTATGGAGCATGTGAGCGGCGACCGAAAACGTCGATGCCCAGAATCCGCAACGCGCACCGGTGCTTCCGCAAAGGTGTACAGGATGTGGCGAGTGACTAAGCGGCGAGTTTGTCATGTTTGGGCGCATGCATCCAATGGCATCGACGGTGATGTGGGTGATTCCCGCACTCCTGTCCGCCCAGGCGGCCACCCATGCGATTTGTCGTTTTCGTCGTATCGACTGCCGCTGTATTGCCGGGCGCGTGGCGGTGTTACAGGGTTGCCTTTAGGGGCACGACCCGCAACCACACGCACGACTGCGTTGTGGTGGCGTTGATGCGTCGCGAGGATCATCCATGTATGGATTTGTGGATATGGTTCACCTATATAGGTAAAACACTGGTACCAAGAGGTAAGCGCTTACGTCTGTACCGTTAGCTAACGGAACGTCGCTGGGATTGTCATCGCAGTAAAGGAGATTTCTGCCGCCACGGGGGTCCCGCTGCCATACGGCCGCTGGTACTATGAGCTGAACGGGTGAGCGACGTCACATCATAAGCGTGCGACCCACACGTGATCGTTTCTCTGTCGGCGTCCCGGACGTTGCTTCGCTCATTACGTTTGTGCCTGAATGAACAGCCCCTGCATCGTTGGTCCCAAGATTTTATAACAAAGTCAGATGCGTAATATAGTGTCAAGAATGTCAGAAACAGGGAAACGGCGCACTGATGTGACATTCTGCGAACTGTGAGTTTCTTGTCAGCAGATCCACCAAACTGGGGATATTGCGTCCTTTCATTTCAATTCGATTCAGACGACAACGGACTCATTTCTTATCCTATTGTGTAGAAGAGAATGGCGGAGTGGATATGGTGGGTGATTTCTGGTCGTACCTGAATTAGGAGGGGTGGTTCTAATCCATTTCAATTCTGCTCAAATGGATCACCGCAGCCACACGGCACAACTTCGCCCTGTGACACAGAGGCGCATGAAGTGCGACAGCTACATCCTGTTATATACGATCCATCTTGTAATTATATAGTACTCGTATACGCATGCACAAATTACAAAACTCTGATTGCCGCACAGCGGCAAGCGAAGCTCCCACGGACTTCGGATTTGACTGGCCCACCCCTGCCACTATGCAAGCACTTGGCTCAATGTAGCACCCGAGCAGGGACCAATGCAGGAATTACGTCAGCCCGCAATCAATCCGTTAAACCATGAACGCCTTTCTCAAAATGCACTTGCAGGGTGGCCCTCGCCCTTGGTGTGACTTCCTTCCAGAATCTCATGTGGCTGTTCTTCCCCATCGTCCGCTTCTCTCCTCTCTTCGATGCCCTTGGCTTGACTTTCGAGAGGCGCATCAAGTACCACCGCTGGCTGGGCCACTTCACGATGGCCACATTGGCGACCCACGGCTCCCTCTATTGGATCCTCTGGTGTTGCGTGAGCGGACAGGAGTGGGCGAACGAGGCCCTGAACTGGGCGGACCACCGACGAGTCAACAACTTGGCTGGAGCTTTTTCTCTGGCGTTTGGATTGGCGCTGTGGGTTACCGCTCTGGAATGGACCAGGCGAAGGTACTTTGAGGTAGGACGTCTTTGTGGGTCCGCGAGGACGGAAGTGAACAGTTGAATGCGATACTGTGCCTCAAAATTAGTTGAGCAGAAAAGGGTGTAGTCCATGCAGTGACCGCACTCCTGAAATCGCAGTATTTGCAAACGGCCAAACAGAGGACACGGTTTGAAGCTGGGTACCCAGAGTGCTCAGAGGACGCAATCCCAGAGATATACGTATCCAACAGGCTGCCGCACGAGACGCGGATGTCAGAATGCCGAGAAACAAGAAACAGTCGATACGGCATGCATACCGCTCGAGATCTGTTCATTCAACCAATTAGACGTGGGTAACACCTCCCAGCTACTTTGAGCTCGAGAGTACTCTTATGGCCGCACCAAATAACGAGACGCAGGCCCGACTGACGAAGTTTGTGTTTCCTCCCCAGGTATTTTACAAGGCCCACATTTTATGCTTTGCGGGATTCTTGGCATTTGGGATTCTCCACGCTCCCGGGATGCACGTGTATCTCGGAACCGGACTGCTGTTGTACTGCCTGGACCTCGTCCTGCGGCTGACTCAGCGCAGCACGCCCGTCAAAGTCAAGTGGTCGGGGTGGACGTCCGACATGTCCATCGCAGTCCTTGGTTTCGATACAGCGAAGCCAGTGTGCCCTTTTTCCACATTCTTCGTGAACTTTGAGAGCATCTCCAAGTCTCAGTGGTATACCGCCATTCCGATAACAATGGGAGGGGGAACGGGAATGAAGGTACGAATTTCGGACCTGGCAGGTCCAACTTATCGGTCACAGCGGAGGACTTGCACCAACGTGCAACTGTGCCTCGAAGCAAGGCCACACATGGAGGTTGATTTTGTACTCTTGCTGCGAGGCGTCAAACATACAACGGTGGCCGCAAGCAATTAGCATGGCAACCTGCGTCCTGAACTTGTCGACACCTATGAGCACAGCGACCCACCTCTGCCATTATACGCCGCTCTGCATCTGGCAATGGCCTTTCAAAACCTTGGTCGCCATATTGGCGATGACCAAATCAAGCTGATGAAAAAATGCGAGAGAAGAGTGCTAGCTTGAGCGTATTCTGCTGAGAGGATCCTCTTCGCACACGCGTTCACTCCGCCGGTTTCGGAACGAACCGAAAGCGGCAGTTGCAGAAAACGCCGTTTTCTGCGATGCCGACAGTGATGCCACTTTAAAAGTGCGCAAAATTTGCTGTGAGTGGCGGCATTGCTGTGGTTGCGATGTCGCCAAAGTAACCGCGACGGTATCGACGGCATCACTGTGTTAGATGGCATCGCACTTGGCATTTCCCCTGTGACGTTTTCTACAGCTGTGGTGCAGCAGCTGGAATGTTCCAACAGACGTTACGTCGATCAGCCCACCACCAATGCTGAAAATGATGTTTTGAGTACTTTCAGGTCTGTACATCAAGTCTGTATGCACCTATTCACCCGCATTTCTTACACGGTGCTTGCATATATCCGATATCCATTCCAGGCATTCGTATCAGATATGAGCGTCCTCAGCTCGTTCGGGAAGACATGAAAAGAACATCAAAAGTGGTGCACGCATTGTGGAGCCCGATAGTGAAGGCATTGGCCCACGAAGGACAAGCAGGCAACCTGTACTGGCCTAGCATGAATTGGCCGTTGACGCATATTGTTTCTGATACATACAACTTCGGCTTGGCCGTCAGTACTTTGGATACGCGCAGCTATTTGGCCAATAGCAACTAACCTATATCCAGTACCATTGACAACATTTTCGTCACGCCGTGGAATGCAAACCCTTTCACCAAGCTGACGATTTTGGAGGGCACTCCGAGCGCAGATGCACAAAATACAGCGTTGCCCCAATCATGTCACGGGTACTGTCGGTGGCAATAAGGTATGCTGTGTGGTGACACTGTTAATGCTGGATGGGCCAATGGGTTCCTCGCAATGCACAAACGGGAGTGGGGAGGTCGCCCCAATATCCCTTGCTCTCGCCCGTTGTGGCAAGAGCAGACGCTCGTTACACTGCCAGCCCTTATCATGACAATGCCAGATATTGCCCCTCCCCTTGATGGTTCGAGAACCAGCCCAAAGGTGGCGGCCCTCCACCTATGCTTTACAGATACTAAATGAAATCCCATTCCCACTAATAACATTGACCGTAACAACACCCCTGATGTCCTTCCGACAAATGCCTTGCGCAGATGTGCTTCAAGAAGGTGGGCAAGTGGACAAGCAGGCTCGTCCGTGAAGCCAGAGCTGGGAGGCTGACAGCCGCGAGGCTGGTGGGCCCGTGCGGCGCAACGCCAGACATACGCTCCTTTCAGGAGCACGAGTACCTGGTCATGGTGGCCGGCGGGATTGACATCACCCCCCTGCTGACCCTCCTCAAGAACCTGGCGATGGCCAACGCGAAGAACCGAAGGAAGGCAGAAGAGAAAAGCAAAGGTGCAGCCGTCGGCGATGGCGCGCCTGGTCTGCAGGGCAGGATTGTCGTGGTGTGGACGATGGAGAAGATATCCGAGGTCGAGCTGATGGACGAGGAGCTGTTCAGCTTCAGCCGCGCGCACCCCGACGAGTTGGAGCTGCGCATCCACTACGCGGGCAAGTCCGAGCTGGACGACTGGACGGGGACGATGGTTCCGAATGAGGCCGCCAAGCCCGGCATCAAGCTGGACCTCTACGACTCGGAACGCGAGGCCGAGTCTGGTGTCGGATTTTGGCGCACCTTTGTCCAGGAATGGATTTGGCGGCTGAGCCCCACGGCCCTCCCACAGCACTGGGGCTCTCTGCACTTGGCGGTGCTGCACGTCGCCGTGTTCGTCGCGGCGGTGATGGGGCTGATCTTGGGGGCGACCTGGCACCCGGAGGCCTCGAGGCCAGGAGAAGGAGCCCCCAGGGGAAAGGTGAGCGCACATCGATTTGAATGCGTCTCGTTCTGCCTCCTCTTTCCCAGCTCATTGCGTCGCGTTTGATTCCTCTCGAGTGCTGTTATCGTTTTCGCGCACAAGATTTGCAGCTTAGCAAGATCTGTTCGCGTATAGTGAGAGTGTTTTACGTTTTCAATCAAAATGCTTTTGGGCAGGCAGTGGACAGCATAAACGAAACCCCGGCCCAAGGCGTTAAAGAGAACAGGCTTTGAGCATTTTTAGGGTTATGTTTCAAACCAAGTTTGGAAATTTTCTGTGCGCATGCAAATACCATGTGACAATCCACTTGCCCATGCTGGCTGCTGATTTAGACGTGATTTCAGTGCTGCCATGTAAGTTTCTTCACCAATTGAGCGGATACTTGAAGATGTTTACGCCATTTAATAATTTACAGTTTGATGCTATTAACAATTCCGTATGATGTATCGTAGGATGAATCATCTATACAGCATTCAAACTGTCGCTTGTCTGCTGGTATTATGAAAAACGTAGTACAAGTAAAATGAGGGAAATTGGCAACATAATTCACACATCGCATGGATTGGTTTCGATCGGCTGGGCAAAACAATGTTGTTTACGCAAAGCTGAAGTATGCATCTGGAGTCAAATCTCCTGATGCAGGGTCTAGCTCCAACAGTTTCCTGCCATATCCTTAAGGATACACAAGCTTGTGCTGTTTGGTTCCTTTTGTTCTGAACAGACACCCAACTTTGGGTATAGAGCCTTCTTACTAAGGTGTTGTACAACCTTCTCCACTTAGAATAATGGCATTAAGTCTGGCATCAATGGAATCAATCACATGTTTTAATCTGAAGTCAACAAAAACCCAGCGCCTGTATCCCAGAGTGTGACATGCTCTAATTGAGAGGACATACGTCCTGGGTCGCAAATTACTTTGCGGAATATTCATATGACGGCATGGGCAACGGTTGATGATGAACCAGGTGGGCAACAACAGGAATCTTGGGGCTGCCTTTCAGGTGGAACTCGTCGCGATTTCCGCCATGTTGATGATGGCCGTCGGGATGGCGACGCTGGGAACTTTCCCTGCTCACTTGATCCTGTACGCCAAAGCCAGACGCTCAGCGACGCCCGGGGAGCCGCCAATACCCACGACTCTGACGTCGACCACCGCGAGTTGGACCGAATGGACGCAGGACATCGAGTGGAGCGGCCTGGACCTAGAGTCCGTCCCGGTGGAGATATCGGACACGCCCGTGCTCTCGCCGATGACGATAGACTGGTTAAAGCGCAACATGGTGGAGGGGCGGCCGTACGTGGACGACGTGCTCGACGACGTCAGCGGTAAGCTGTCAGCGGAAGGCACGGCGGGCGTGATCACGGCAGGTGAGAAAGTGGGCGCTGACTTGACCTCTTTTGCGCATTCGCCAGCGTTATGATTTGAGACAATAGTAGTTTTGGCTCATATGTACCCTACTGGAGTGGACTGGTGATTCGAGCTGTGATCGGTGATTTACCCTCTGGCTCATGTAGGATGGACTCACTTTTCTCCGCCTTCCGGTGGTCAACACATCTTCGCTTTGCGTGCGAATTCGGACGTGATCCGCGCCTAGGATCGCGCACTTTCCACAATTCCCTAAGCGATGGAATTACTGCATTGGGTTTCCTTGTCATCTGTACGACGTCGACGGGGCCCTGAATTATAGAAACACGGCATTTCCGCCTGAGTCCTATGAACCGTTTTCATGCGAATCCTTCTCGTCTCAAGCAGGGCGAAATGGCACAGCGCCGTTGAAGCTGAACTTCGCCCCCCCCCCCCCTCCTCTCCCGTACATTTTGCCAGTGGGCCTTGAGGCCATTAACAAGGCCATTGATGGCGCTGTGTGCTTGCGCATTTCCCAGCAGTGAATCTTGGGCCTTCGACGTCACGGCATGTTTGCGATGCCAGCTGCGATGCCATTATGAACAAAAGTGGTGCCGTCACAGCGATTGCGATGGCATAAGAGTGGATGCGATGGCATCAACTTGTGTCAAATGGCATCGCAATTGGCATCTCAAACAGGCTATTTCTACTGGCGCACCCTGTTCACTCTTCGTCACGTTAGGATAACGCCAAGGCGCCCAAAAGGCTTGCGCAGATTCCTATGTGGCATTTCAGTCCAAACTACCAGAGAAAATTTCCAGGCAGATGTGCCTCTGGTCTAACACTTTGCCAACGTATTTGTTGGCACATTTGCAGTACTTCTCCATTTGAAACAATATGCTTTCCCCATTGAGATCGCGCAGCACTGATGGAAATTGTGCGCATGAAATTCGCTGCGCGCTGCGGCAGTTTTGGACAAACCTTCCCAAATTTTGGGCCACGTCTTGCTGGTGTCACAAAGTTCAAGATATTTTCAGTAAACTGCCCGGCTATTTAGATCTCATAAGCTCCTGTTGAGGTAATGCACACGCAAATTGCAATTCCATATATGTGGAGCCACGCTGAATGCGGCAATGCTCATTGCCTGCCGATATACGTTTTATTATGCTTCACTTTGAAATGCGCGACAAGATTTCGAAGCCAAGACATGAGGTTTGTGCCATCGTGTGATGAGGTGTAGAGACCTGGATGTGCATTCATCTGACATTGATCGATGCTCCTAGGTCCGAAGGCCATGATCGACAATGTCAGAGTGGCTGTTGCGAGGCGCACGCCTCAATTCCTCTTGAAGACCCTTCAGGCTTATGAACCATCTGAAGCTTCATGAGATGGCACTAATCAATCTAGCCGCTCATCTTCACTTATTTGATTACACGGTTGGCCTCCAGGAGTCGCTTCACAGCTACTTCCGTTGCAGTTACTGTATTAAGAATGAGATCTGTATGAATAACCCTTCGAAGCTATTCATGGAAGCGCGCGCGATGTAGTATGGTCTAAAAGGACTGAGACCATTTCTTGGTGTGCGTTGCGTGGGCAGCAATTGTCCAGATTCAAGAGTTTTTATGTGATTTAATGGTATAGCTACTGGGTTTGGAATAGCGCAAGCGGTGGCAGGATGTGGCCCAATGGAGCTTGATCGGCAGGAGATTCTCCGTACTTCAATTTTTTTCCTGTTGCCTATGCCATAGCTTCGGGTGGCCTAGGTGCTTGGAAGAAACAACAGGTAGAAATATCGGGAATACAATCTTAGAAAACGGCATTAAGCTGGAGTTCAGCGGCCGAGAGAGAGGTCGTTTATAGGTCATCTCCAACTTTGGATGCCCCATTTGTTGCTTGGGCCACGAACGACATCGAACATTTCATTCCGGTATCCGAAGTGCTCTGCCGTGGCGCGTGCATCTCACAGACGGCAAACACGGTGGCTTTGCCTTGTGCGATTTGTTTGTATTTGGACCTTCCTGGCATTGTGGATTTGCCTCAGAATTGTAAAGTGTTCTGTGTAAATAACTATACCTGGGGAACAAGTCTTGAGCCACGAGGCGGGCGTTGCCCACGTCTAATTCACAATTGTCCAAGAGTCAGGGCATTATTGCTCTCAGTGCTGCAAAGCCTCGCGCCATGTATTAACTATCGGTGAGTGCGAAAGCGCCTTAGAGAGGAGGCGAGTGAGGACAGAACAACGCCAATGGGGGAAGAAAACGCGGTTCCCATATGAGTGCTCATAGGCACCTCCCGCACCCCTTTCTTCTTCGCTTACTTCGCTTTGGGGTTCTTTGCTATCGCCGTCTTCTGTGCTGTTTGCTGTGGAAACCAGTCTCTGGTATTGGAGACACTAGAGTGATGAACGTCAAGCTGAACGTCAAGCACTAGAACGTCAAGCTGTGTTCAAGGTAGGCAAGCAACCACAATGGCAGCGATCTCAGAGTCTTCGGAAATGGGTTGCTGAGAGCCGCCGCAGGAAATTGGGGCAGCCTCAGGTGGTGTAAACTGGGATATTTTGGGGTCTTCATGATGCTTGATAAATCGAGGTAAGTTTTGGCAAAGCAGTAATTTGCCTGGCTTTAATCAAAGACGGTTTGGGCGGCATGTCAGCTTACGTTGAATTTGTGCCAATTGCGTAATCTGCTAGCGGCTAGCACATGCGAAGCTGCTTCGCATGTGGGGATCTTTTACCCCTTGGCATCAGACCGAGGCCCAGCATACCGCGATTGGCGTAGTGCCTTCCTTTGTCTGATCCCATATGTGGGATTTACGTTTTACGCACCAAAACGTAAATTTGCAAAAGGGCCTATTTTGCGGCTATTTTTACAACTTTTCGGCTTCCTGTGACACACATATTACACGAATAAAATCGCGTACAATGATCAGTCTTCCGCCATCTCCAGCACCCGCAACACAATGTCCACCTCACCGTTGGCAAGGGCGACGATGGCGTGCAACAAAAGCTCGTTTTCTGCCCCTTCCACACTATATTGCTGCCACTCCCCGGACTCCGTAAGTCTGTTTGTATTGTCTTTATGTACACGGAGTGTGTTTACGTTGTACTGCATATTTGTGCGCATTTCTATGAAAAAAACGTCAGTACGATCAGTTTCCACGGCATAAAAGTCAAGCCTATTAGTTTGCTTGAACAGAATCCATTCAATTGGCTTGATTTTGAAAAACTAGGAAAAAGCAGGTCAGATGACACGGTCCTGACACGGTCTGCTCAAAATCCGACTGTGTGCTTTCGGAAAATGTGGTCCCAAAATTACACGGTTAGTACACACATTGACACAGTTTTACACGTGTACCCTTGAAAACCGTTTGTTCCACACGTTCTTCTGGTCTGTTTTTTCCTAATGAAAAGCAAAGCAACCTTCCCAAGGCTGAACATGCGCCTTGTGCCCTCCGAGACCACGAGGAGCAGAATTTTGCATGTAGGCATTGATCAATGCCCCCTGGTCTAAAGGCCATGATCAATATCAAGCTGGCTGTTGTGAGGCGCAAGCCTCGATGGGTATTTGAGGACCTTTTCCATTTGAGCTTTCTGAGCGCTTTGACGCCTGATGTGGAGGTATTAGCTTCTGAACAGGGAATGGAAGAACCCAACCAAAACGCTCATCTTCAGTAATTTAGTTACAGCATTTTGCCCCAGGAAACTGCTCCGCAGCTGCTTCGGTTGCAGTAAGTGTGTCAGACATGAGGTTTGTGTAAACGAACCTTCAAACTACACATAGCGTGAACACGTATCATGTTCTGCGACGATAGAGTCCATATTGCTGGCCTGCATGGGCAACAATCTAACAGATTCAGGAGGCTGCAAGTAGCAAATGTCATATACGTCATTTTATGGCGTAACACTTAGGTGCGGGGGAGTGCAATCTGTGAAACGTTGAGCGTCTTTTTTGGTACAGTGCTTGTACTCTTGTGTGCGCTGCATTGGCAAAAAGTTTTCCCTGATTTGTGGCATGGCTTCGGGGTTCTCCAGGGTGCTGCGTAATCAACAACAGAGGGTCGGTAACACAACCACATAAAGCTTCATTGAGTCGGGCTCTGTTCCAATGTTGGCAATGGGTTAAGAGCCATCTTTCACTCACATGCGGCGCGGTTTCAAAAGAATTCTCGCTTGCGCCACGAAGGGCATCGCGCTTCTCATTTCGTAATTCGAGGGATTGTGCTGTTTGTGGATTTCACAGCCGGCAAGGCGTGGCGGGTTTTGCGATCCTCGTTTGGCAAGACTTAGTATTTCCTGGATTTACGTATGTGCGTAGGAATCGCAAAGTGTTATGTGTAAGTAAATGCACGTAGCTGAGTTATAACACTGAGCCACAAGACGACTAGGTACGCCCCTCATCAGCAAGAGCATTGCAGTCAGGTTATCAATATTCTCATGAGAATACCAGTACTGATCAGTGCCAGATGCCTTGCATCATGAACTATCTAATTGTCAGTGTGGAGAGCAATGCGCATTGCATACAATGGACACCCTTGTCTAGGAACGAATGCCATGCGTCATGGCACGACAAATAGCATTGATTCCCAACTCAAAATTGTTTTTCGACACATATTTCTGAGCCAGAGAACACTCCATACAAAATACATTGCCCTGAATTCCGATTTTCTTCAGAAACTTTCTAATTCGACGTCAATGTACGCCTATTCACATGTACTACCTATGTAGTAGGTAATCTCGTATTAAGGGTGTTGCCATCACTTCCTCATCCACGCTCTGGGTTTCAGTGTCGTAATCATCTTGAATGCCCTGGGCTCGATCCAAGCACAAGAAAATATCAAATCCACGATCACCCGCCTCTCCTGAACCCACACCCCACACCCCACGCCAGCCCCACCACGCCCCATCTGCCCCCCTACTGCATACAGCTCTTATATAGATCGAAAAAGGAATGTTGGCCAAATGCTAAGGTAGCAGAAATGCCTTCAAAACGTTCGCGCACATTCTCGGTCCCTGCTTCTCGTGCGATGGGCGCCTCAGGATCACAAGTCATAAACTATTATTTTCCCCGCCGAAAGTCTTCCAGCAAATAGCCACACCATTTGGAGCTGCACGGGTGACGCGTGTGCTCCAGGGCGCCCACCTGGAAATTCACGCAGAAAATCACGACTTGTTGCAAGACCCACTACCGGAGTACATTCAGCCCTTCCGCATAGCAACGTAACGCTTAGTCGTTTTGGGGGAGAAAGCAATGCAAAAATAACGATCTTTTAACAAATTTTTGGATGCAACGTAAAAGAATTCAAAGCACTGCTCGAGAAAAGAACGTGGAGCAAAACATAGAAAGTGTGTCAATTAAATTTTTTGATGCGGAAGGGCTGAATGTACTATGGCACATCGCCTTGGGCACAGCGCGCGTCACAGCGCCTTCGGCTTGCGACGTACACAGGGGCGAGGGAGGCTGCATCACATCTTGGAGATTGGCTTGAATTTGCAGCGCGATATGGTTCATACAAGGCGCCGCAACTACACTGTGTGGCAGATTCCCAGGGTCTGTCCGTCACAACTCTGTTGGCAATCCCGTGTGAGGAACCGCACAAGTATATCGAAGCCGATGCGGGCAGTTGGGTATTCAGAGCAACGCCCGTGAGGACAGAGCGGTACCAGTCAACAGACAGATCGAAGTTTGGACAGAAGAGCCAGCTGAGAATGAGCATTGACTCACAGTGGGAGCGCGTCACGCAAAGCAACTGTGGTGGCTGTCATGTACGAAAATCCCGGCTTACAGACTCAATCCAGGCATCCATATCCACCAACATGAAAACCATTATTGCGATGCCGAGTGCGATGCCGTTTTGACACCAAGTAAGGGCATCACAGTGATTGCGATGGATAAAATGTAGCTGTGGTAGCACCGATTATTGTCAAATGATATCCAAGGTTGCATCGCAGGAACAAGTTTAATACACTGGTGTATGTGATGGAGCGTACTTCTCCATGGGAAAGGTTCCCAAACGGTCCCCCCAACAGTGTGACAGCCGGCGTGTCTGTTCCTCTTCAATCGGTGAATCGATCAACTTGATAATGTTGCACACTTTGCAGTCCCCATATCCTGAAATATTGCAGCCATAACTTACCACGTAGCCATTTATAGCAATGCAATCAGCCTTTAGACAATATCCATGCATACTGGTTCATGGGCATTCGAGCCAGAAGTAAGCATTCATTTGCGGACTCGTATATGGGAAACTGGCAAGCCCCGGTGTAGGGCTTCTTTTTGAAAGGCATGCTCTATTTGCTATGAAGTCTGCTTCAGCCATCGAATAGGCTCGATGGTGTTTCGTTGCGCCAGCCTTAAGCGTGGAGTGATGTTGTCCACGGGGGTCCAGGTCATGCTAATGGATGCCTCTGAGAGTTCCGACTTGTGAGATCGTCTTGCAGCTTCCCAGATATTGTAATCGATTCAAGAATTTTTAGCCGACGTGCCGCAAGGATGGTATGCGGCAGCTGCGCAAATGGCTTGAATTTAGCGATTTTCCAAGCGACATACAGCAGCGCTTGATCGCGCATTGGCAAAAATGTCCGCAAGGCGATTGCCAAACCACATCTCAACGCCAAGTACTCCAACTTGAGGAAAGGGCATTCGTGAAGATCGCTGCAAGCTATGAAACGGAGTGAGAGACAAGCTTGCAAGCAGCCGGCCCCGTTACTTCGCACGCCATTTTCAGCCAATGAAAATCCTACAAAACTAAGCCGCGTCCCAAAATCAAATGTTTTGCTGCACATTCAACGAGGAAGCCTGAGCGCCACGGCAGAGCGTGCTAGTTAGCAATGGAGTCATCTCCAAGAAGAAGATAACTAATGTACTCTTCTCCCAAAGACACGCATTTCTTGAGGCAACCCCTAAATAATGTAGTTGAAATTTATTCCCAGCGCATCATTTTATACTACGTCGTCGTAGTGGCGGCTTGTATTCCTGTAGGCCCTGGCTGCAAATCCTCACGAATCCACTGTGCAACATCTCGGTACCAAATCAGCGAATCAACCCTTCCGCGGCATCGCATTCTACCACTTATCTTCCCCTCCCACCTCAATCCCTCGGACCAATTCGACAAATCCTCCGTCCCAAGCCTTCTGTTGCATTTTGGCACAAACGCGCACATGCCCCTACCTATCTCGAGCAACGAACATGGTCCCCTGCGCATCCATGGCGCTGCAAATGAAATACTCCCCACAGCTGTCCAATTCACTTATGCACATTTCGCCACAGCTCTCCTGGCTCCATCTCGAATTCGAGATTATGCTTCCCTCCCTTCGCGCAGTTTACACAACTGCCATAAAATGTCGCACCCCGCCGAGGCCTTCACGCTCCTCGCGCTCGGGCCACATTCACACTGGGATACCCCCACAGGCATTCGCGCTGTGGGGCAGGTCCTCCCTTTCCGTACAGTCCGCAAACAGTTCACATCGCTTAACAAGACATCAGGTGGTCATGTGAACGAAAGTTCACTGCACGGAAGCCCGTGGAAGTGACTCCTGCAAATTTACATTGAGAACAGCAACAAACGAAAAGATATTTATTGAAGGCGTGCTTTGGATCGTGGGTGGCCTGTCGTGGTGGCGCATCCCCGCCCAGCGAGCGTCGTGGCGCGCCCACCAACTCGATTGGAACGTCGGCGCCACACGTCCCGGATTGCCGACCAACTGAAGCGTACCCAGCCAGTCGCCGGATCCGCAACCGGCGATGGCTCCAGAAGCCGCGGCGCAGTTCAGTCCTCCGCGTCGAAGAAGCGGGCGTGGTCCGGTTCGCCCAGAATGATGGCTGCGGGGTTTCGCCATCCCCACAACCACCCACCCACTCACCCACTCAAAAAAAATTAGCAATCCCGCCTCACAAATTTGTTCATTAACTTCAAGAACCGCAGCGAAAACTTAATTCTACTCACATTTTGCGTCGACTCTAGCTACAGCGCAGGCATCAAACCGCCCATTTCACGTGGTCTCGCTAATATTTACAAAAATGTTAAATTCTTAGAATGGTGTATTGTAACATCGCTTCAGCATCTTGATTGAAGTAAGCGACATTCCATTTTTACATTTGTTTGGGGTATTCTCTACATTTTTCAACATCAGCTTAACTCAGCATGTGCGTAATTCATTTCTGCTTGCACTTGAGACCGCCTTAAAAGCGAACTGCAAGCGCAATGGCAAGTGGCTCTTGTGCTATTTGTCTCCAGAACTTGGGCGCTGATGGTATTTGGACAAATTTGCGAATCTTTCTTACGTTTGTATAGATATTTTCCAACATGCTTCTATATTATCGCTGATTTTAAACATAACAATCGTGAAACTTTGATAATCGAGTCTGGTAAGTCCAATCAGATGTAAAAAAACAGTTCGTGCTGGGGATGGTACCTGGGCTGAAAATTCCGAACCTGGGTACCGGAGTTTCCAGAACTTGGGTACCCGGGTATACCCTGGTAACCCGGGTACACTCCATACCCGGCTAATCACGAATACCCGGGAACCCGGGAGTAACCAGTACCCCGGTCCGGGTATATACCCCGGTTCAGGCACACTGCTGGCCGCAGCGGTTTCAGTCGCAGTTTTGCTCTGCATCGGCCTGGACATGGACTGGTCAAAAACACTACGTACATTACATTACTACAAAATCCATGCCAACGACACCAACACAGACAGTCACAATCAATCGCTACAGCAGTTCGCGAGCATGTCCCCAGCAAGCTGGCGCGCCACAGACTGGATGCTATGCTAAGCCGCTTCTTGTTATTGCAACGTAATGCGATGGAGCTTGTGCGAATTGCTTGCCATTCTGCTCCTCTCCCGCTGCTAGTTCAGCCGGCTTCATAAAAGGTTGACCCATTTTCTCAATTTTGTTGTACAGTTCATCCTTTGCGCAGTTTTTTAATCTACTCCGTCGCCAGCGGCTCACAACATCGCGCACCTGCCGTGATGACAGCCGCCGTGCAGCCCGGAGACAGATGCGCGTTTACGTCATCCAGCACCTTGTCCACGTCGGGCCGCCCGTTCTTCCTGTTTTCCTTGATCCAGTCGATCGTGGACGCCGAAAAGACGGGCGTGTCCGATATCTCGCGGGGGCCGGCAACGAGATCCATGCCGTCCATCGATATGTCCTGCGTCCTAGATATCCACAGTATCGTCGTCGATGAGAGCTTGGTGGGCTCTGGCTTGGGCGCCGCCACCATCTGTAGCGCCTGTTTTTCCCTGGCTCTCCGGTAGAGGGACAGGTGGGCGGGGAAGACGAAGAGGGTCACCGCCCCGATGGCCATCATGCACATTGTGAACATAACGACCATGTCCACCTGGAGGCGCATCACAACACCAATTCACTTTCTGGATACGCACATGCGCTCCTCCTCAAAGATCGCCAGAGTCGTGACGCCGTAAGTTTGGATTGAATGTGGGTCGAGGAGCACTGCCGTTCTTAACCTATTATTGTGTCGCCTCGCACACATTTTGCGAAATTTGGCTCAGCATCCAGCGCAAAACGTGTACGTCTGCTGATGCGAGGTTGGGATGCTTTTGCACAGATTGCCGTGGGACCACTCAGAAAACACCGTGTTTGCGACGCAACAGCGATGCCAGTTTCACACAAAGTGGGCCATCACAGTAATTGCGATGGCGAAAAACGGCTGTGATGGCATCAATCAGTGTAAAATGACATCCCAGTTGGCGTCCCCAATACGTCGATTCCTGTTGGTGGGGGACAGCCTACGCGGTCATTGTCAAGTGCCTCAAACTGCTCCATACAAACGAAACAAGGCCACTGGCCCGTGAACCAGAAGCTACCTCACAATCCAGCACCAGGTTTCCGTACCTTCCCCCTGGAAGTCTCTTCCCCCGACCTTATCGCCTCCAGCGGGTAGCTTATGCCCATGATCAGCCCCATAAGCGCCGCGGCGTACACGAGGATGTTCAGCCCGGCAAGGTGCAGGGGCCCGCTGTACATTGGCAGGGTGGTGGGGCTCACGCGCCTGAACAAGTCCCCGACCTGATTCGGCTCAATGTGCGGGACAGCGGGCGAGGCCTTGCCGCTCTTCGACGCCCTTGTGTCGCCGAACTCGGCGCTGATCATGTCGGCGTGGTCGACTTCCTTCTTCACCCGGATCATGGTCCCCGTCCAGTTGTCGAGCGGCACCTTCCCCGTGTAGTGTATGCGGATGTCCAGCAGGTCGGGCTGGGCCCGGCTGTAGGCGAACAGCTCCTCGTCCATCAGCTCCGCCTCGGCTATGTTGCGCATGGTCCACAGGACCACAACCTTGCGGAAGAACACACAATGGACATACAATGAATATACGATGAACATAGAATGAACGTAAAATGAACGCACAGTGCGCATACAATGAACATACGATGAACGTACAATGAACGTACAACGAACGCACAATGAACGTACAATGTGGTTTCGAACAAAACATGCGCGTGGGGTCGTTGACCGGCATCGCCAGCCTATGGTGCGAGGGCTTTTGCTTTGCCTTTTGACGAATGTTGTTGCAAAGGGTCGGCACACACCTTTCGGGCCCGCGGCGCACCCCTGGGGGAAGGCTCGTCCGCCTTTGCGGACCTGCGCCGGCCGACCTTGCCAGCGTCCCAGGCGTTGGCTATGACCAGCTTCTTAAGTATGGTTAGCAGGGGCGTGATGGCGATGCCGCCGGCGACCATGACCAGGTACTCGTGCTCGTGAAAGTGGCACGAGTCCGCCGTGGTGCTGAAGGGACCCTCGAGCCTCGCGGTGGTCAGCCTGCCGGCCGCCGCCTCCTCGACAAGCCTACTTGTCCAATTGCCGAACTTCTTGAAACACACCTGCGCAGGATGCCCGGGCTCAGTATTCCTTGATTGCGTTGACAGAGGTGCTGCGAAAACGAGAACCCCGGGGCGCCGCGTATGTGTTCCATGGCCCTGTCATAGGTCATACATTATTGGACCCTTCCGCACGGCAACGCAACGTTGGGTCCTTTTCCGCTGAGCTCGGAAATCGCCCTGCCGTGGTAAAAAACAGTCCCAGTCGCGACGCGAGGGTCTCTGGACTCCCCAGTGCGTCTGGCGGCCCCGGATGCACAAGTCGCGGCTCGTTTTCGCAGCCGATCGCAGTGCGGCGATGCACAGCGAAGTAACGCTCAGGGACGACAATGCGGAGCGAAAGCGTAACGTCCCCTGGCGACCGATGTGGAAGGGTTGAACATTTTGCTGTATGTGGCGCTGTCAACTGAGAGGTTGTTGTTGACGGGCGGCAGCCACGTAGAGAACATTGCGGTGCTGGAGTTTAAGTCAAATAGTTCCAGTCACTGTCGCCCCACACTGCAGAGAATTTGACACCGAGAGTGACATATTGGAAGCCCCTATCATAGCTGCAAGTAATTGAATGCGTCTACAGTGATTCCGCATGAATTTGTCACCAATGTCGTGGAAAATTCCTTCCTGCTTGTGTCATAACTTGCGACATGAAGCACAAGGTTGCCGCTGGGACTGTGGAAGAAGACGCTCGCGTTCTGGCATCACTTCCCATGCTTAAACTCACCAAATTTTCGACATAATTAAAATGAAGTATATAAACCGCAACGAGGAAAAGATCAAATGGGAAAGAGATCTAAATGAGACAGCTAATGGTGTGCTTATTCAGTTTCAATGATGACGGCTTCTCTACAAATGGGCTGTGGCAGTCTGTTCACAATCTGTCGCCTTGCGAGAACAGTCGCAGTGGGGACCAGCTAACCATCAAAGAGGTTGCAGTGGGTTGCTTTAGCACAACAGCGTGATGATGCTGGGGATTTTCTTCGCCACGATCCACATGCACACAGAGGCTCAGGTTAGGCGCTGTCAAGCATCGTGCGCACCTTCATTCCAGTTCCTCCCCCCATCATGACAGGAGTGACGGGGTGCCACTGGACCTTGGAGATGCTTCCGATGTTCACAAAGAACGTGGAGAAGGGGCACAGCGGCTTCACGGTGTCGAACCCGATGACCGCGATGGACCCGTCCGAAGTCGACCCCGACCACTTCACCTTGACGGGGGTGCTGAGCTGAGTCAACCGCAGGACGAGGTCCAGGCAGTAGATCAGCAGACCGGCGCCGAGGTACACGTGCATCCCGGGGGCGTGGAGAATGCCGAATATCAAGAACCCCACAAAGCTGACGATGTGGGTCCTGTAGAACACCTGGGAAGAATGCAGCACTGGATGAACCTCAATCGATCGTTTCAAGGAAGTCAGGCACCGATACTTGGCAACCAGGCAGCGATACTCTGTAGATTTTGAGACACAAGGAAGGGGCGCGAGGTCTGGGGTGTGGCATGAGGGCGTGCACATCGTCCGCATTCATGTTTGAGCTTAGGCAGCGTGCTTACTTTCGTTGCAGTTTAACAGACTTGTACGCTATTTTCTGAAGGGCGAGACGGTCTAAACTGTTAGACGAGTGCCCCAGTGTCGGCCGCGTTCCCCATATGGTGAATCTGTATTTTTGAACTGCACAGCCTCTGTCGCGTAATGGCTCTTTGCGTCCCCGTCCTTCCAGGGTATCCCACCTCAAAGTACCTTCGCCTCGTCCACTCCAGTGCGGTCACCCACAGAGCGATTCCAAACCACAAGGATATGCCTCCGGCGAAGTTGTTCACGTTCCTGTGGTCCGTCCACTGCAGCGCCTCCTCCACCCACTGGTCCACGGAGACTCGAACGATCCAGTACAGGAAGCCGTGGGTCGCCAGAATGACCATCGTCATGTGCCCAAGCCAACGGTGGTACCTGATGCGCTTCTCGAAGGGCAGTCCAAGGGCATCGAAAAGGGGAGAGACGCGCACGATGGGGAAGAACAGCCACATGAGATTCTGGAAAGAGGTGACTCCCAGGGACAGCGCCACCCTGCAAATGAAATTCAATGCAGGTTGACGAACGTTCTGACTGCTTCAGATCAGCAAAAATAAGCACCATGCGCTCACATTCGAGGTACAGAACTTGAAGAAAATACAATTGTTGCCAATGGGGTCTTCGTCCTGCGCACCGCACTGCAACAGGGCAGATTCATGGGATCACGTGCAGCGGACGCGCTGTCAATGTTGTGCTGGTCGAAATCGGCGGGCACCATCTCACCTTTACTGACAAGGCTTAAGAACATGACCAAGACCGAGATGAGAGAGGATACCTGGTCTGTGCGTGGAGTGTCTATGGAATTGCTAACAGGCACACGTCCATACGGCATCGTTACCGATGTAGCAATGGTTACAATGAAGTGCGCCAAATGTAAAGCTTTCCACGCTGGGGCGCACACCGCCGGCGACACGGCTAGACATTCGCAAGGCAAACAACTATCCGCGGCAAGGACGAGGCTTCGTTTGCTGCGACGATGCGCCGCTCGAGCAATTCCAACGGCGCTCTTGATTCGTCGATGTCAAAGTTGTACTCACCCGTCCAACTTATAGTACCAGTCGGGTCGCTCCACCGGGATCCCCGTCATGGCGGATTCCTCCTTCCCTGCATGTGCAGCCGAGAGCAACAGAGAATCAGAAAGCCCATAACCCCATTACAATCAACCAAATTCAACTGTCTCGCGGATGCGGACTGCGCTAACGCGCAACACCAAGCGATGTCCCATTCCAAATGCACCCATCAGGATGGCAATCCGCCCGCGGTTGACGCGCCGCGCTGCTCATGTACACTGTCTGAGCAACAAATGCTTCATTGGCCGGCCATGATCCACGTCCATCTCCACGGATAGAGGCCGCGCATCGCCGGTCCGACATGCATGGAGCGCGGGGCGAACGCGAACCACTCTGAGTCACCGCTTGCGCAAACCCCAAGGGGGCCATTGCGATGCGCCAACCGCCACCGCGCGGCCGAGCGCCGCCCATTCGCCACACTCACGTTTCCGCAGCAGCTCGTCCGTCTGGCCCAGCGTCCACACGATCATGAGGGCGTTGCGCAGGGTGAAGATGACGATGAAGGTGAATTCTCCAGTGCTAATCCCGCCTACCAGCTTCTTCGCCCATTTGATCGGCACCTCCTTGGCCAGCGCGGCCGTGGCGGGGCTCATCCACTCCAGCGCCACGTGCCGCTCCGGGATGTTGGACACCGTCAGGGCGCACAGGATGAGCGCCAGCGGCAGGCCCCAGTAGAGCATGATCTCCTTCACCACGTGGCCCGACACGAGGTGCAGCATGCGCTGCATCCCCACCGTCATGTGCCTGACCTGCTGCCCGCGGATCAGGGACTCCAGCTGCCCCTTATCCGTGCTGCGCACCGAGTGCGACTGAATCTTCAGGTTGTCGTCGTTGCGGTCCCATATGTCTTGCATCCCCCACCCCGTGGACCCCGTGACCGTGACGAAGACCAGGAACAGGCCCAGCACCGCCATCGCGCCATACAGGAAGAACGCTAGGTAGACGAACCTCGGCCTAGGCGCCTTGTTCGCGTCGCAGGGGCTCCACTTGCCGTCCTCCCCGCCGGCGTTGAGGGTCGCCTGCCTCCTGAAGGTGAGCAGCCGGTCCACGCTCCTCGCCCCCTCCAGCGTGATCGGCTCCTTGGCGACCCCCATCCTCGCTGCGCCGGTCGCCACCGACCCGCGCGCGCAGCGCTCGGTTGGACAGCGCGCGGCGTGAGAGCGGCCAACGTATTTAAAGAAGACGCGACGGGCAACGAGGAAGGGACCGAGAAGCGGTGCGCCCGCCGGACGCAACTAATCCTCGACCGGCCGCCCAGTACATGGGAGGCTTGGGGATCTCGTGGACCTGCGCACCGGCGTGCCACCGAGGAAGGGACTGGTCACACGCACTGCTCCCGGACGGGCGCATGGCGGGCGGGCGGGAGCGCGGCGAGAGTCATGGCGTGACACCACGCATGCTGGGAGGCTGCCCTTGGTCCGACGGCAACGGGGTCGCATCTTTATCGGGCATTGGGGCCCGTCGTTCGTTGTACAGTTATGGCGACGTCTATCAACCAGCAGCGACCGGGTATTCATCGTGGCCACAGGGCGCGCGGATTTAACGAACAAGTCTTCTCGGTTGAGGCGTTCCAAAGTGGGCCACGAGGGCCCAAGCGACCCGTTGGAGAACCATTGAAAACAAATGCGGCTGTAACATCATGTGACAAGCGGCACAGCGGGAGGGGCACACAGGAGTCCAATCAGTCAACAACGCGCTCAGTAAAAGGTCTTAGGGCGATGGGGATGGAGCAAGACATTGGCTTGGGCAGCTGCCGGATGTACGCACATCCGGGAACCCCCTTGCGTACAGTCAGTAAACTTATTGATCAGCGCACATACCCGGGCGCGCCGAAATCCCAGTACACATCTGTGAACGCAAACGGGCTTTTTGTCCCCGTGTATCGACTTTACCAACCGTCGATCCTTGGTCAGGAAGTACCAAAAGGGTACCGACAGGGAGCAGGGTGCGGGACACCAATACCCGCAGCGTGGGTAGGCGCAAGGGGATATATTCATCGTGCGGTGCGATCCTTTATCAATTGGGTGCACCAATTCTTTGCGGCACAAATGCCTTATCTCCATGTCAATTGTGCTCATAGGGCATTCCTCCGCATAGCAATGAGGACACTACGAAGCCACGCAGTCGCAGTCGTAGGCAACGGTATCACCTGAAAACAAGCACTTTTTGGCTGCAGCATTGCTGGCAATATTGGCAGTAATGTAGCAGCAACACAGTTCCCAAAGCTGGCACTAATGTCGGTCGGCAATGAGATAGGCGAAACATTGCCAAGAATCGTTGCGTCAGACTTCGCGCATCTGCCCGTCAAAACAGCTCCGTTGATGCCATTGGCTGGAGCTAAAGGATTATAATTTCTGACTCTTCGTTCTTGCCCGGGACATCCAAGCCACAACGCTCATACGATACTGTTGCATGGACATTGCTGCATCAGTGGCCTGCAGTGATCGATATTGCATCAGCATCTTAATCACTTGCGGTTGATTTCTCCCCAGGCCTTGAGGAATCCTAGGGGAGAGCGCGATGCACGGACGGGTTGATGGGCACATGCACTACAAAATAGCCATGATATGTCCAATGAGGCTTGTCCGATAACTGCCAACACCGGAGGTAAAGGTCGTGAAGGTGTCGCGAATGTCGCGAAGGGTACCAGTGACCTAAAGCCCCAAAATCTAAGCGCCCTAAAACCCCAATTGAGCTTCAGGACCTTAATGACCCTTATGGCCCCATGGCTTCATGTCCTCCATGACATCCATGGCCTCCGCGGCCTCCATGGCATTCATGACTTTCGTGATCTCATGTCCGGCCTCCAAAATTCATAGATTTATACCTTCATGACTTTCATCATCTTCATGACTCCGCCGTGTCCGGAAATGAAGGGTGTCGGACATCGTGAAACCAATTGCGGCGCTCCCCCGTGCATACAACGGAGCAGCTGCAGCGGAACCAAGCTTGTTTTTACGCCGTAAAAGCTGATATTATTTATGTTTTTACACGCAAAAATATTTTTTGCGTTTTTACATGTAAAAATGCATAAAAGTACGTAAATACAGCGTAACAACTTCCCGTTGTACACAAGGGCAGTACATACAGGTTTACGGAGTTCGGAGAGTGGCAGCCAGATGCATTGAAGGGGCAGAAAATGAGTTTTTGTTAAGCGCCATTATTGCCCTTGCCAAAGGGGAGGTGGACATTGTGTTGCAAGTGCTGGAGATGGCGGAGGACTGATAATTATGCGCAACTATCATCGTGTAACCTGGGTATCCCAGGGATCTGGCGAAAAATAAAAATACCCATAGAATAGGCCATTTTGCAAATTTGCGATTTTATTTGACCAACTGTTGCCTTCGTTCATCAAAGCTCTCGAAGCTGGAATTTAACGTACTTTCATGTTTCATAACTTCTGTTTTCAACTGTTGCACTTCCGATACTGCCGCCTGCGCGACCTAATCTCCTTTGATCATGGTCCTTTGAAATTCCCACTTTGTTCACCACCCCATAGAATTCATTGTGTAGTCATTTTAAACTAGCCTTCGTACATAAAGGTGATATCAATTCGTAATATCAATGCAAAATGAGAGAATGACAAATACCCAAAATTGCGAATACTGGAGTGATCGCGCCAAGGGAGATTCACCTCTTGTTGCCTTGGTCCCTCCAGTGTTCCTCATCAGTCCTATATTTTCCACCTCCTGGATTCCTGCATTCATCTCTCCTTGGCATTATCACTCGTGTATTACATGTCCTCGTGAGTCAATGGGGTAGACTGTGGAAGGTGGGCAGCCAAGAGAGTGTTGCATTTAAGGATCTCTCCCGCAGCAAAGGCTGGCGGTAGTCGCGATAGCACCATTGCCATTCCAATGCGCCAGCATTTGTAGACAAATTCCTGAAAATTATACAAAATGCCACCTAATCTGGCGAATTGAAGGTTGTGACGTTGAATCTGAGGCCCGCAGCCTCCACGACACGACACCTGGGCAGGAGGACTACACGAAATTATCATTGCCGGATATGAAGGTCATAAAAGGGTCATGAAAGTCGTGAAGGGCGCCAGGAGTTTTTGCCCTAGGCCAGATAATGATCCTCATGAACTTCATAAATTTTGCACCTCCGTGACCTCCATGGCCTCCATAAATTCGAAGTCACGAATTCATGTCCGCAAAAAGGAGCATCGGATATTTGTTCTAGGCAGTTGGGTGCGCTGCGTATGCGGCAATTGGTAAGTGGCCATGAAGAAACTCCCCGGCACGATAGAGAAGCACTTCGCTGGTGTCACAGCACACTGGGTTACACGCTTCTACTGCGGTATCGCTGGGACGGTCGACGACGAGCGCCGTTGTTTCCGCCTTGATGGAATCTAGCGATCTGGCCTGTATCACTCGATCTGGTTTGCTGTGTTGCGCGGGAACGGTTGGGACGCACCAAGACCCGTGAGGGAGGAGACAACGCGGTTTGCTCGGCATCGTTACTGATCAATTCAATTACATTTCGTTGAGTTTGAAATGAAACCCCCGTTGCACTCTAGCTAAAGCGTGAACAAAAGGTGGGTAATTGTCACACTGATGATCTTGTGCAAGTCGAGCATGCGAGGCTTATCATGCCGTAGTCGCTGCTGCAGAGGCATCAAGCGATGGCGCCATGGATTTGCCGGACATGGAAGCTGATTGATTGACTTTACATTTCGTTGCATTTGTAATGGTGAAAATTTGCAACAAAATCTCTGGTGAATCTATGGCTCAAAATGGAATCAAAGAATATGTTGGACGTGTTTCAATGCAAACATTTCCCCTGGTAGTTTCTAGCTGTATTCTTGCGCGTGTTCGGTTGTCAAATAAAGCCTTAGAATGGACCAATTTGCCCCAATTTCGGCTGTCCACCTCGCATACAATGGAATTGATATTTCCATTCTTCAATCCATCAGCACAATTTTGACTGCTGTTTGTCCTACAAAAGACCTATAAATTGTACACCACTTTCAAATAAAGTTGCCGAGTCATCCTCGCATATACATAAGGATTCAAGTAAGGAGGGTGGAGTATGTAGTGGGTGTGTCTGAGTTTAACGTCAAAATGACATCAGACGCACCAAAATCGACACAGCGCCTTCGCCCTTACTGGTATGATGACAAGACGCTCGCCACAGCTGCTCAATTCGGTTAGGTGATTCTGCTTGTTGGCAAACAAATTGGTGGTGCATTGGAGTATTGAGACCGACAACGGGATTGCAGATACATCAAGTTATGTTGGCAGGCCTTCTGCTGCTCATTCTGTGCACCACCTCCGTGGTATCTTCAAATCACTCAACATTCTTGGCTGCAGTCTGTCTGGATGCTTGTTTTGTCTTGCGGCGCTGTCTTTCGGTTTGCGGATCTGCCCAAGGACATGCAGGAAACCTGCAGTGCGATATATATAATACCAGCAGTGAGGTTTCGTTGTTCGTCAGGAGCAACAAGCTCAGCATGTTATATGTCGTTGTGATTATCTGCGGTAATTCCGTAACATTTTTGCGCGTACAAAGATGGACAAAAACCGATTTATACAAGTACAAGCTCCTTCGAGCAATAGTTGCACGTTGGCACAGCCCCTCCACTTGACCGACAACCTGGTGCGGATGCGAAATTCGCACATTCATTCCCGTTCCCCCTCCCGCTATATTCGGAACGGCGGCATACCATTGCCACTTGGAGATTCTGTCGAAGTTCGCGAAGAATGCGTGAAAAGGACACACTGGTTTGGCGGTATCAAAACCGAGGATTGCTGTCGACTCGTCGGACGTCCACCCTGACCACTTAACTTTGACGGGCGTGCTGCGCTGAGTCAGCCGCAGGACGAGGTACAGGCAGCGCAGCAGCAATCCTGCTCCGAGATACACGTGCATCCCGGAAGCGTGGAGAATCCCAAATGGCAAGAATCCCGCAAACATAAATGTGGACCTTGTAGAATACCTGGGGAGGGAACGCGAACTTCGTCAGTCGGGCCTGCGTCTCGTTATTTGGTGCGGCCATAAGAGTATACTCGAGCTCAAAGTAGCTGGCAGATAAAGGAGCAATGCTTTGATTTCCGAAAATAATCTAACTCGAGGACGCACAGAGCCTCGGTCCGCGAATTGGCGTCACGACAATGCAGCAATTCTACAGGTAAATATACTGAGGGAGGTGCTATGCCCCATACTTGTCCACAAAAATTTCACACATCAATTCGCTAATTTACGAAAGGACCGTCCATTCGCACAGTTTCAGAAAAAGGCGAAGGCCACTGAATAAATGGCGCAATATTGCGCCATTTATGACCATTGTTTATGACCATGACCATTACTGGTCAGGTCGCGGATCTATGGAGTGTGATGATGATCAGGTCGCGGGTGGTATGCATACCGCCTCGACTATTTCATGTTTCGGGGCATTAGCCGTGCGCGAAAGGTCTCTCGGATATGCCTATTTTGCATATGAAATGGACGGCATTGTGCGATTTGGTCACCGTTGAGGTGCTTTTGGTGCCAAAGAATAGATGTAAGTTAAAGTGTTGCGCCAGCCTCAAGAGAAGATGACAGGTGGCACGCCAAGGTTTCGTGCTCTTTTGAGTGATGAGGGTGGGCACTCGGCGCCGCCCGCTACTGGGACCAACGCAGGCTGGGGCCCCAGATTCGTTGTGCATTGGCGATCAGCTGAGGTAAACCAGTAAAATCGTCCATTTAAGGTTGGCTGCCATGTCGTTATCAAATGTACCCCTCTTTTTGTCCTGCAGAAGCATGTGCATTGGGATTCATGCAAACAGGGAAGCAGAAGTACTGGGAACCCTAAGCCACAAACCCAAACACGTCCTCTGTACACGCATTCCCCGTTAACGGGGCAGGCGGGGCTGACCTGATGCTTGCCTCATCATCGACCTCACATAACAAGGCCTGATGCTTACCACTCCCGCGGGTGTGCGGCTCCACGCCTGGCGGTGCATCCACTTCGATCATCGGCACCACCCTCTGCGCATTTAGCACCGGCCTGCAGCTGAACAAGACACCCTACTACAGGGAAAGCGTCAGGTATGACAGGGTATACCCTGTAGGGTACGCAGCCTGCAAGGGGATCCTGGTCTGCCGCCTCGGTGGCGCTGCGGAAGCTCTCGCGTTTATCGTGCGCGACGTCGGGAATGCATCACGTCGCTCGTCTTGGTATTTGAGTTCACCGGCAGGAGGCCATTATCAGTGCTCGGGCATATTCTTCGTCAACCGCCTAGCCCCGTCGAGTATCTTGGCCGTCAAGCACCTCCTGCGACGCCACGAATGCTGCGTCAAGCAGCTTTTAGCGGTGCACCGTGTATTGTTACAATGATTTGACGAGTGGTTGGGGAAGTGGCCAGGGAAGTTTCCAGGCTAGCGACAGGCTAGAATTTCTAATTGATGGCCTCGAGGCGATTGAGAATTGGTAATGGCAGCGGATCCTAGAACCTGGGAATCTTGAAAGTAGAGGTCTTGCAGCACTTTCAAAGTGGGATTTGAACCTCGCAGGGTTGTTGACGCTGACAGGAGATAGCGGCATGGGATGCCGCAGGGAATGCATTATGCCGAAATTTGGTGGCATCAAATGTGGTGGTCAATTTCACGCTAATGGGTAAGGGGTCCAGACATGTGGGGATAGGAGACTACGCAATTGCTAACAAATCGACATACGCTGGCAAGCGACCAAACATTTAATGTGACGTTCGAATCTAGCAAAAATGTGAACGTTCACATCTTGTGGTGCCGTGGATTCATACAAGTAAGGCACCGCGCCAAATGTGGCACGCTTAACGTCAATGTTACGCTAAGGAATGAGGGTATCGAACTGAGACACTAAGATATTACGCAATTGCCGCAATTTATTTGTGTACGGTCACGTCTGTCGAGGTTTCATCAAAGTACTGAGATTCATGGATCCACATGCTCCAGTGAGTCCATTGAGCCGAAGCCTGGTTGGATTTTAATGTGTGCTTGGCTTTTATTCAATTGAATTTGGCCACCTCTGCAGAGATGAATGATTCGCGAGGGGACAGCCAGAATCTGTCCATCAAGGTAGCTCGTGGTCTGTGTGTACGCTTCACCAGAGTGGCATATTCGGTGAGTCGTTGAAGCATCTCGATGCCATTGCCTATTGTAATGAATTTTCATGGACTTTCATTTGCCAGTGCGTTTGTACTAAGGCTCTGTGGCCTATGTGCATATATCACGGGACTGTCATATTTGATGGGCCGTTGAAACATGTTACTATTGTCTATTCCCATGAATAGTCATTATTTTGCAACGTGAGGCGACTCAGAATACACAATATTTCTGGAGATCCTAGACGTTGAGGCCATCCATATACTTATGCCCATACGGGCGTTCATAACGTCATTTTGAATTTCGAAAATATGCTATGGTGACAGCTATCGGATGTGGAACCAGGCATGTTATTTACGGCATAAACACAGTGTTGTTTTTGCATGCATGCGCAAAGTGGTATGCACACATTTACGAATAAAATGCCTAAAATACGTAAAAAATACGTGTTTTGCGTATTTGCAAAATACAGGTCCTGCGTACATAAAGATGGCACATACAGCTCAGGAAATCCCGGGACAGGCAGCCAGCGCTGGAATGGGCATAATACGAAACTTTATTCCACGCCGTCGTTTCCCTTGACGAGGGCGAGGTGGACGCTGTGTCGCGAGTTCTTGAGAAGGCGGAGGACTGATCATTGCACGCGATTTTCATCGTGCAACATGGGTGTCACAAAGAGCCGCATCGACGTAAATGTAACCGCAAAAATAGCCCCTATTGCAAATTTGCGTTTTTATGAGTAAAAGTGTAAGCGCAAAACGCAAATGTGAATAACAAGCCTGCGCGCTCGCGTTGCCCCTACCAAGGGTGGGTTGGACTCTGTGCTGCGGGTGCTCGCGGATGCCAACGACTGATCATTTTGTGCAACTCCATGACGCAACCTGGGGAACTCAACGCAACACAAGGTATTCATATAAGGGAATGAAATGGTAGCTTTTCTCTTGGGCATTTTTGCACGCACAACGTTGCTCTAAGTATATATAACAGGCTTTAGTTGAACATACTTTTGGCACCTACAACACGAACGCAAACAATACGTGGCTGTTAGCCAATGACCGCTTGCAAGAAGCGATCTGGACGGATATAGCTTCCATCGCAGTCGGAATCGTACTGGCCTGTTGTCAGTGCCGTCATGATCCTGATCGCGCCTCATTGCCGCCAAGGATGGTCATGACGGATGGTCTTAACAACACGCTTGGATAAGGCATGCCATCGGTATGTGACACCTGGCACGCAGTTGTGGTACGTGGCATTGAGCGAAGAGGCTCCACGCTCAGCGTCGCCGCTCTGCAACGATCCGCACGTGACGCTGCAGGTGAGGTGGGGCCATCGGACCACCAACAATCAACCAGTCAATTAATCGATTCGGCGCCACTTTTGGAACAATTCGCCACAGGGCCCCACATTTCAGTCCAGAAACCCCGTCAGCGACTCACCCGCCCCGAGCGCTACCCGCCTGCCGCACACCATGTACCCGTCCAGGAACACGCGCTCTCAAATCCGACAAGAAGCCCAACACCGGAAAAACGCAGAAAAAGGGAAATAAACGCCAAAAAAACACATTAATGTGGGGATTGGGGGGCCTTGGCGCCTGGCCGAGAGGGTCAGAATCCCTCTCCGAGGCCGGCCCCAGGCGAGCGCCCGCCCGCCGAGCGCCATGTCCAGCGCCACCTCCGGGCCCCTGCGCCTGGAGGTGCACCCCGACCGCGCCTGCTACCACCCCGGCGACGCATTCCGCGCGGCGGTGGACGTCGCCAACGACGGCGCCCCCGGCCCGCCCTCCTCCGCCCTTCGCCTGGCCGACCTGTCCGTCGAGGTCAGCGGCGCGGAGCGCGTGGACCCAGGGTGGGTGGCCCCCGCCTACCTGGCATCCTCGCCGCATGCCTCTCGCGACAGCCGGCGAGTCGTCAGGGACATCTTCCGCAGCGAGACCGCCAGGCTGGGCGATGATTGTCCCCTGTCCGCGGGAACGAGCCGCAGATTCGCGGTTGGGCTCAGGCTGCCGCGGACACTGCCGCCGTCTTTTAAGGGGACGTCGGTGAGGTATGTTTACGAGGTGGTGGTGAGCGCGAAGCTGGCCCCAGGGGGGGAATGTGGGAGGAGGGGGGGGGAGAGGAGGCTGCAGGTGAAGGCGGCGTTCCAGGTGTGGCCGCGCGCGGACGGGATGGACCGATCGACGCGTGCGATCGGTGGCGGGGGGTCCCCGCGAGGGGGCCCGGCCCAATCGGGCGCGGAGGGCGAGGCGCCGACGCTGGAGGTGGCTTTCGCATCGCCGGGCGAGCGGCTGCCGCTGCAGTGGGGGGAGCTCAGGCGCAGCCGTGGGGGGCTGGTTGCCAGCGGCAGCGAGGTGGATGAATCTGATGTTGTTTTGGAGACGCCTCGCAATGATGCGATCGAGAACCAGAACCCGAACATGGGGATGTCCATGCCGCCCCCCAGCGTGTGCGAGTCCGAGTTCAGCGCCCCCGGGTCGTCTTTCACGGTCAGCCCCATGTCCAGGAGGCCGAGCGGGCCGGATGTCGCGGCTAAGTCGCCGGGCGTGGAGCCCGTGGTGACTTCCGTCAGCCAGAGGACTTACAATCTGAGGATGGGGGACGACCTGCTGGTCAAGTTCACCCTGCAGCCGCCCATGCGCCAGGTGCTGCACCCCGGGGCCACATTTGGGGCGGTGCTGGATTTTCGGGACAGCTTCGGGCGCGGGGAGGACGCCACGCCGGCGAAGAGGTCGGGGGCCAGGCGGTGCATGATGGTGTCAGTGATGATGGAGACGGAGGAGGAGGTGCGCGGGGAGTGGCTGCCGCCCTCGCTGCGAGCGAGGGACAGCTGCGCCATCCGGCGGCTGTATTCGGAGCACATGGAGCTGACCAGCGACGTGCTGGTGACCAACTTTACATTTTCGGTACCGCCCGGGGCGCCGCCGTCGTTCAGGACGCCCCTGCTGGCGCTGTCGTGGGTGCTGAGGTTCGAGTTTAGCGTGGGGAGGGCGGGTGGGGTGGACCACAACGGGGTGGTGGTCAAGCCGGGGGACAACCAGGAGCGCCTGGTGTGGAGGCTACCCATATTGGTGCACCCTTTGTGAGCCTTGGTGGTGGTGTGTGGTGGTGTGAGCAAATGCGGGAGTGGCATGTGGGGTTGTGGTGGCGCCCCTGGTGATCTGTGCGAATGGGCAAGTGCCTGAAGATGCCCATAATCGCCTGCAAGGTACAAGGGGAAGTGGTTTGCCTTGCGAAGGCCTGGGTGCTTCTTGGGCAGTCCAATGTGGGCGCCTGGTTGCTGGCATGTGATGACAACATTCATAATACTGCATCCCCAGGGAGATTGTGAAGGGGGTGTCCCTGGCTGCCCAGAACAGAATCTGGATTCAGAGTCAAAGGGCTGTGAGAGGGCCGTAAAAGAGAGTGGGTGGGTAGTGCAAGGAGGGTGGATGTTCAGATGGGAAGAGCAGCACTGGTGTCGAGAGACTTCAGGTGTCGTGCTGGGGATTGAAGTGTAGGTACATGCTGTTGGTGGCAACAGCTTGGGACAGTGCTGGGGCCCCCAAAACCTGCGACCAAGTTCGATTTCTAGTTGCCAATAGTGAACAGCACAAATTATTGTAAATGAGACAGTGTTGGGAGTCAACTGCAGCACTGCGTCCAAGCTGTTCGACAATGATGCGGTTGCACCTAGTGCCCTGCCATGCTGCTGTTTGATAGACCAGCAATGGCCATCACAAGGCGTGGGTATTGGCAACTGGTGCTTGATGTGTCTTTTATGGCGACACGCTGCCTCATGTTTCATTATAGCCAGTGCAAAAGACTGGCCACAGGCGCCCTTTGGTGCTAAAGCCAGTCCAGAGATGGACTCCTGGACGGGGTACTTGAACACACACAGGCACACACACATCCTGACAAAACCAGCACCACAGTGGTGAGGTAGAGAGAAGAATCCAGTGCTGGTGTGAAAGATCTTTTCTGGCCCAGCGCCCAAATGCTGTATTTTTTCCTGCCCAGGCAACTCGTACAGTCATGCTTATACATTCAGTTGCAGACAGGCAAGTGGCTGAAATCCGTATGCAAACTAATGTGCCACACACGAGAGATCCAAGAACCAGAACATTGCAACAGAACGCCCACAACTCCCCACATAAGTTCTTGCGCGAACGAGGCGCCCTGACGAAAGCAACCGTCTCTGATCTGCCCAGGGTTATAGTTTTCAGCAGACTCTATCAAGTCCGGTACATAACGCCGAAACATCACGCAGTCCCAGAACAGACACAAGCCCAACTCCTATCTGGAATTCAATGAACGCGTTTGATTAAGAAGTGGGACAGGAAGTACTTTCTGAAAACAACGAAAACAGGCCAACATTTCGTGAGACTTCACTGTCACCAACTTTGAACTTGACATCAGAAAGCATAGCCAGTACAAAAGCGACAAACCATTAAGGGTGTTTCCATCGCGGTTTCTCACAAAACACATCACTTTCATGAAAAGAATGCCTTTCATGTTTGTTGACAACATCGCCGCGGCGCCTCGCTCAATGACGCGCAGCGATTCATGCGGAGCGCACACCCGAGAGAGAAAACATGAGCGATGGACACGAAACGGCGGTCACCGTTCGCCGATAACGGGTGCGTTCACACGTCCCATCGAACCCTGGAGTATCCAAGAGTGTGACCGTGCTGATGCGTACCGCACGCCCAACCGTACGCCCAACCACCTACGCCACGGCCACACCAGGCCCTTGTAATCCCCGGCGCCACCCAGAAACCGCCACGCCTAGCGGGAATGACCGTCGCCTCTCGGCGCCAGCCTCGGCCAACAGAGCGCCGGGCCCTCCGGGCCCCCAACTCCCCCAGCAACAAACCCCCGCCTCCCACCGATCGACTTAGCCGTTTTTCCGACCCGTGTCTCCCGCGCGTGGTTGATTGCTCGATTGCGCCATGGCTCGGCGCGGCGCCGATGCCTTCGAGAGCCTCATCAGCAGCGTGCCCGGCGTGGACACCTCCGGCTTCGTCAAGCGGTCGATGAACGAACTCAAGGCCGCGTCGAAAGCGCCAGGACGCGGGGTCGGCCGGACCAACCGGGCGCCTGAGACCAGGAGGGATCCCGCCCAGGGGAGGGCTTCGCCCGCATTGCCACCGGATGATATGATAGGTGGCGGGGACCGATCTCGGCGGTCTGGGGAATCGGGGAGGGCGGATGGCGGGGAAGGGGGAAATGCGGAGCATCGTGAAGGGCCAAAAATGGATCAGGGGCTGGGGGAAGGTGGATTTGGACAATCACCGTCGCCTGTGCCACCGGCGACGCGACAGGTGGCAGGCGGGGCCCCCAGAAGGGGAGGCGGCGAGAGCGCGCTGGACGATCTGATGGCCAACGTGCCGGGCGTGGACACCTCGGGGTTCGTGAAGCGGTCGATGAATGAACTCAGGGAGGGTGGCGGGCGTGGCGGTGGTGGGGAAGGCCGGGGGAGGGGGGTCGGCCAAGGCCCCGATGGATTGCCGACGGCCGGCGGCACCGGGAAAGACGCCAAGGCGCCTTCCCAAGGCCTGGATGACTTGGGTGATGCGGCGCACGATTTTGTGTCCAGCGGGGGGCCGACGGGGTTGTGGAAGGCTGAGGAGGACATTCCGCTGGGAGATTCTTGGGGAGGGTCACGGCCTTCGGCGGGCGCTCCGATCGTTGGCGTGTCTGCGGACGAGCTGGACGCCCTGGGCGCGCCGCCCGTCCCGGCCGGGCCGGCCGCTGGCGCCGCTGGGCTCCAAGATCTGTTCGGTGGCATCCCGGGGGGCCTGCCGGCCCAGCCGGCAAGGCCCGCGTCCCAGGCGGTCGGGGTGGCAAGAGGAGACGACCTGGGGGCCAGTGGAACCTCCAGGCATTGCATATCGGGGAGGCGTCGGCGATGGTGGCCTCAAGGGGAATGGAGCCTGCTTTTGCGGGAGCGGAGGGCGGGATCAAGGCCTGCGAGGGGCGCGTTTTGGGGACCGATTCGGTGTCAGTTTCGCATCGGGGCGAGGAGGAGGGCCCTGGGGAGCTGTCCCAGAGATCTACGGAAGGCGGGCCGGCCACAAGGCAGCACAAGGCCTCCAAGGACTTGTTCGTGCCGGTGAGCACAAACCCCAACTTGTCGGATGAGGAGTGGGCGACGGCGTCTGAAGAGGGGTCCCCGTCGCCGAATCCCCTTGGGGGGATTGCAGGGTATGATGGGTGGAGGCTGCGGGAGGATGGAGGAACCAACAAGTGCTGTAACAAAAAAACAAAATCGTGAAAATGAAAGAGAATCCTCGGCTTTATCAAAAACTAATAAAATAACTTCAAAACAAACTAAGCTTTCCGCTCCGAAATCAATAAAGAAAATCAACAATCTTCACTTTACTCTTTTCTACTCTTTTGAATAAGAAATTCAAAATCTCCAATAAAACTCATCACTCGTCGCTCACTGCTATTCATCGGCTCAAAACAACCTTTAGGGCTCCCATCTTCCCTGGATGGACAAAAGCATTGAGGCGAGGAGGAAGAGCAGCGAGGGCCAGACAATCGAGACGCACGTCATGGACCTTGGGGACTCCACAGACTTGGATTCTGTTGGGCACCAGGCGCAGGGTGCAAACCAGGCAGTCAACGAGGATCGCGGAGGTCAGACTGCGAGCCAAGTGGCTGATCAGGCAGAAGAGGACGACTATGCAGACATCGTTGAATTGGCAGCAGAGTTGCAGAACCTGCCTCAGGAAGATCGCGCCTTTGCGGTGAGCGAGATGGAGCCTGAGATCCAGGTGAAGGTTGTGGAACTACTCAGGTCACAGGGTGTTGACATTATGCAGCAGCCTGCCACAGGCTTGGATGGTGGAGAATGCATAAGGTCATCTGGAATGCCCAGCCCTCCTCCGACAGCATTCAGCCAGCCACCTGTGATCGGTGTTCAACGTGTCGTGTCAGACAACGCTCTGCCAGCCCTCAGGGATGAGCAAGGCCTTAGGGAGATCAGACTTCCAGAGAAGGGTCCGGATGCCAATGGGCTGGGCTCAGCAGGGTGCATAGAGAGGTCTGCATCTGTCCCAGAGTTCAGGGAGGTCGACCTGCTCAATGTCAACACCCACAGTGGGGCTTCAAGGCCAGTAGCCGAGGATGCTGCTGCATCGGTTGCTGTAGAGGCACCATGCACCACAGACCCAGAAGAGTTAGGCAGTTTTTTCCAGAGTCCATCCACCACAAAACTTCCTGTGCCACAGTCAGATGGGGTAGATGACATTTTTAACACGGAATCCAACAGGGCTGGGGGCGTTTCTGTTGTTGGACAGCCCCAGGGGCCAGCTGACGTGCTGATGGGTTTTGATGGTTCAGAGTCGGAATCGAGGTCCCGTGTGGCAGCCGCTGCAGCGAGACATAGCAACCTGTACACTCACAGTGGGGGAGGGGAAGGCGAGCCGGAGATCAGGAGGGCGCTAAGGCAACAGCGAGAGGAGCAGAAGCATGCAAAGATGGCTGAGGCCCTGGATAACAAGATCCAAAGGGACAAGGAGGAGGTGGAGAGGCGGGAGGCACAGCACGGGTACAAGGAGGCATACTTGCCCAAGATCCAGGCGTGGAAAGATCAGCACAGGGCGAACATCAGGGGAATGTTGACGTCCTTGCACACAATGCTGTGGGAGGGCACAAGCTGGAAGCCACTCACTGTAGCGGACGTTCTGGACCCGGGCCAGGTGAAGAGGGCGTACATGAAGGCCAACCTGATCGTTCACCCAGACAAGGTGCGGCAGAAGAAGGGCACAGACGAGCAGGTGGTGATCGCGGACATGGTGTTCGATGCGCTGAAGGAGGCATGGAATGAGTTTCAGAAGAAGTGAAGGGAAGCTGGGGTGTGAGTAGGCTGGGGTTTGGCTGCTGATGTTTCTTTGGTAGCTGTCTTGGTTGTTCTACATAGGTGTAGTTGTAGCTTTAGTGGTCACAGGTAGGAGCCATGGGAGTTTGTGTGGATGCACCATTGGCAGTGGCG